AAGGTTATGTATCTTTTTGTAGAGTGCATGTAAACTTCTGGTTTCAGATGTATCTGGGTGTTTGCTCTTTTAGAAGAAGAAAGAAAGAAATAGTTTTTCAACCAGTGAGCATGAGCAATTAAAGGGCTGATACAAAATACAGCCCACTGACTTCACAGAACTCACTCATAGTGGGGGGGGAAAAAAAACATGACAAAGAGAAAACTTTAGTTTCATTGGTGTTTGCTTTAATGCGTTTTGTCACCCTACAAACCGTGAGAAAATCTGTTTCAAAATGTCATCAAAAAATTCAGTTTTACATTCCTTGTATTACACTTCATGTGAAGAACTCCATCGTAAGAGCACGACCGACAAAATATACAGTATCTTGAACATTTCAAGGCAACGTCTGAAGAGAGGAGTCAGGAAATGTGTGTGGGGGGAAAAAAGCACATCAAGTGACAAACCGTTCTGGAATGGTTTTATATTCAGAAAATTAGATCTTCATTTTCATTAATTTCTCTCATTACTGAGCGACGAGGCATTGTCGGTGTTAAGTACTTCTCAGTGTTGATTTTAGCCACTACAGGAAGGCACACTTTGTCACACAGAAATCAAATTTAAGCCTTGAGGCAGACAGAAAAAACTTCATTACATATTTGTTCTGGGCAAAACAACCAAATGAGAATGACTAAGACGGACATTAGAATGACGAGACACTGAAGGAGAACCTCCGTCTTCGTGGAATGGATGATGGGAAAACTGAAGGTGCTCCTGAGCCTCTCTTCACACCATCTTAACACTGGTTTCACCTAGATGTCCATTTCGAACTGTGCGTCTTCGCCTTGAAAGACAAAAACAGATTTAATGTACAACAGAGCATTGAAACGCTTTACGTACAGCTTTACCAGGTAACGCTTGACTGGAATATTTCAGGGAGACTTTAGGAATTAGCTGGTAAATAACATACAGCAGTGACTAACCTACTGCGAACAGATGCTCTAAGAAAGAAGGGAAATGAAGAATTAAAAATGGGGACATCACCTTCTTTAGCAGAAAAATGATGACAGAAAAAATGCTATGAAAAGAGTTTCAAGGGCTGATGAAATGGATGTAGAATGTCTTGTGAGACAAACATCAACTCTTAAATTAACATTTTTCTCTGACTCTGCATGTTAAATGCTCCCTACAACCATTATGGCAACTTCCCAAGTGAAAATGATGTTAACGGCCACTGACCGCCTGGTTGTTGCTAAATAACGAACCGTTTCAACAGAAATCAGCTGACAGGAACAACCTCAGACTGAAGCATGAAGAGAAACTAATCGGCGCTCTTGTGTCTTGTGTTTGAACCTCGAACTGTCTTCTATCATCACTGAGCATGACGGTTTGATTGTGACATAACCAGGGCAGCACATTTATCAGAGGTTCTAATCAGGGCTGGAGTTTGTTCTCAGCGTTTGAACTTGAATGCAGCACTTGAATCCTTCACTCCAAATACTGAGTGTGTGAACATACCAGCGTTGTTGCTGTCCGGTGCGGTGATGCTGTTGTTGTTCAGTAGTTCTCCATTATGGGTCTTCACATTGGTGTCTTTGGAGGGAGGACTGGTCACCCCTGGAATGTTGGGCAGACCTCGCGGAGGAGTCTTGGCCACCGGAGAGCGGCGACACTCCAGCAGGAACTTCCGGTCGTAGATGATCCTGGTGCCTTTGGTGTGAAGAGGCGGCAAAAGAGAAGACGACATCAGACAGAGAGCTCCGACGTCACGCTTAGCCGATTGTCAACAAGTCCTTCAATAATACTTCACAATCAGCGACTCGAACGTCATTCAGCTCGACCTGCAAAACCTGATTACTACGTCAGAACAAGCACATCTAAATAAAACGTCTGCAGAGTCGGTTTGTCTGATGGATTACCAGCATGCACTGGGGCAGAGGAATTATTCATCGTATTGTATGTGTTGTTGCGCCGTCACATTGTGTTCTGCAATGCTTCCACTGCTCACATTTCCATATCGTTATACAATTAATCAATATGAACGAATACACTGTGGCGGTGCAGCTATTTATAGTTAGTGATGTCATCATTCTTGGCAGCGAGCTGATGATTTGCAATTTTGATGATGAATTCACTTCCACAGGTGAATTATTTGAAACAAGTACACTTTTTAAACTCTGCAAACCTTCTTTTGAGTAGAGCTGCAATGACCAACCAATTAGTTGTCAACTGCTAAATTCATTTGCAACTGTTTTGATGATCAATTAATCAGCTTAGGTGGGTTTTTATGCAAATCAAGACTCTTAAACTTGATAATCTTTGGGTTTTATCACTCCTCTCTTACAGTATGTTTGGGTTGTGGAGTGAAAGAGATTTTTGAGGATGTAATCTTGATCTAGAAATTAAAGAAAATAACTGATAGATTAATTAAAGATGAAAATAATCCTTATTTGCAGCCCTATTCTTGACAAGATAGGATTTTTTTTTTAAACCTTGTGGCCTTCTACCTTTATAATCTGACTAGTTAAGGAATATTGTTTTAAACATCTCAGTCAGATCACATTATGCCACTCTGTTTTTGTTGTAATGACAGATTAGTGATGCTGCATATCCATAAGCTTTCATTCATACAGTATAATTTGCAGTAAAACTGTGGTGGGAACTAGACTGAATACATTTGTTCCTGTGAGCATTTACACCCTAACAAACTGACAACATGTCTGTCTTGCGGTGGTGCATCAGACTAGAATTTATACTCACCAGATAATCAGTAACCTTGTTTACAGCATCAAAAAAGAAACAAGGAGGAAGCGGCATCAGTGGCGAGAGCTCAGAATGTTTTATTCTTCTTCTATCTGTCGTTCTGATCAGGTAATAAACCCTCGAAAACAGGATGAGCTCATTGATTAAGCATGCACTCAGCCTCTGCTCTGGGTCCTCTGTGTGTCATTTAAGCAGCTGATCTACTTCACACTTGGCACTTGCACATTTTGTATGAGCCAGCATTGGAGAGAACGCAGCAGGTACAAGGCCTGCCGTTGTCGGTATCTGGTGGCAGTCACACATATTTACTAAAACTGGAACGGTGTGAAGATAAAAGGCTTTTTCAAGACGTTTAAGGATAAAGGGAGGTGTAGGAACAGTTATCCACTGTTGCTATAGTAACATAGGTTGTCATCAGACTAAACTTAGACTGAATTTTCTGTCAGTTTTTTTTATTTTTTTTATCAGCAGTTTATCAGTTTATGATTAGATTAACTTTTTTCCCACCTCACCAACACTTGTATCTCATCTCCTAGAACATTTCAAATGTCAGCCAAGCCAATTACTATTAAATTAAATCATAAAACAATTAAAACTGAGCCTTAATAACATACGACATAAACCAGTCTAACGCCAGCTGGTAACTAAAAGTGGCTAAACCGGATGGGCTCAGTGGTTCGCAAACATTTTTTGTCACACCTTTATTGCTGAATATGATAAATCAGACGAAGGTCAACAGTGTGAGCACCACCTCTATAGCTGGCATGCACTCACTGTGATATTAATATTGATCAAGGAGTAGAAAGAAAGTGGGATGATCTTACTTAGCAGAGAGAACAGCCACATATTTTATGTATATTTTACTTGGAAATAACTTGAAAATGTTGCTATTATCAGGCTACAATCTGAAATGAAATCACACACTTGCCTTTAGAGGACAGATGCATGGTAAACAAACTGACATTTTAGGCTTCGATCAAATGCTCTGAGCGGCACAAATGTACCCCGTAATTAACTTAAACCTCACTTAAAACATGTCTGCAGCAGGTTTAGGTTGAAATTAAACTTCAGATACACTGACCTCTACAGGAGTTTGTGTGGATTTTTCTCAACACCTGGTGCGGACTGGAGCACAGGTGCAGTTTGAGCTGCAGAGGACGCAGCAGAGGTTTGGTCACGTGACTCAGACATACCGCTTTAAACTGTAGCTATGCTAGCGACAGGCAAACATTAGCTGATGAAAGCCACAATAAAAACCCCTAAACACGTCCCATTCACTGAGAAACCTAACAAAAAGGCAGGATACGTATTACTTCAGCGCGTCAGAGTCATGCATTTCTTTTTTTTTTTTTGAATAGCAAACACTTGCTAGCTAGCGTTAGCCGCTAGCCTAGCCGAGCTACCAGCTGACAGCAGCCGACCTCATGGAGTTAGCTTGACACTAACAAAGCAGCTCCGTGGTCGGTTAACCGTGCTGGTCGTCAGTGGCCGTGGTTAGACGGCACAGAGGAGGAAATGTAATGTTTAGCGACAACACGTACCGCCCGGAGTGGTGCTGAACAGGGTCCCTCCGGGAGTCGTGGAGTAGTCGTGGGGCATGTGCTCCGCGTCGCTGATGGTCACTCTCCTGCTCGACGGGATCGCCTTGGCAGTTGTCTTCTGGCAGTCAGTGGACATCTTCACTCGGCTGTAATAAACTAAAACTAGCTAACTAAATAACATGGAACAGAAAACCAAGTCTGGGTTGTTTCTTTCTTTTCTTTTGTGCACAAAACAACAAAGCCACGCCGTCTGCCCAGGTGCTGGTTTGGCTCGACAGAATGGCTACTCTCTGATAAATAAAAATAAATACCTCTTTGTCATAAGTGCAAATTATGGTAGGTAGTATCTAAATGCGTCACATCACAACATGCACTCTCTCACACACACAACGGTGTCCAGGATCTTTGTTAAAAGGACCTGAGCACTCGTTGCTCCTCTCGCACTCACTCTGCACACGCACACAAAACAACAGTCAGACAGACAGACAGACAGACTGGCTGCAGGGGAAAGACTCCCAACGTGGACAAAGTGAGCTCAGCCCGCCCTCTGCTGGAACAGAGCGTCTGTGCAAAGGCTGCAGAGAGTTTAGCATCTTTATGTTGTGATCACATTAACCCTCTGACACTATCAGAGCAAGAAACTGTACAAAAAACAGAGAGAATCGTAGTATTGTCAACTTTCCGACGGTCCTTGAACTAACCATGAGTGCTGTTAGGTTCCATTGGGAAAAAAAAAAATCAAAATGTGAGTTTAAAAATGTGATATTTCATCAACTCATTTTATTCTACATGTCTCATTTTTTAAAAGTCACCAAAACAATCCCTCTGCTGTGACCTTTTCTGCAAAAAACCCCTAAACATGTTGTGCCCTTTAATGCAACTGTGAAGCAATGACAGGTTAGTTAGCAAGTATAGAAAGAAATAACACATTGAGATGAAAATACTTCATGCAGCATGGCTGGAAAAGCAGCATACAGAGGAGCAAGTTGTCAATAAGTGCTCCACAGCCAGATCATGTTGTAGCACTGACACAGTGCCTTGTAGAATGGTCTGCCTGCACCTCGTCGTCATCATCATGCTACACGGGAAGCTCCTGCGTGTTTCTGTTTAATTAAATTAGTCACAATCATCTTGGGTGACGCTGAGAAAAGGCTCCAACAACAGTGTTCACTCAAAAGAGTGCCATGGGAATTGTTTTTGGGGGAAAATCTGCACGCTTGAGACCAGCACTGCCATTAAAATGGCAACATCGTCAACAAAAAGCTACCAGGGCTGCTGTGTTAAACCATCCAAACCTTTGGCATTGGGATTTTTTCTGCATTTAGGTTGCTCGCCCAGAAACTTTTGTTGTTGTTTTCCAATTTTGAAAACAGTAACGTGTACATAGTGGAAAAGAAAGCAACAGCAAGTGGCAATCTGCAGTTTACAGAGCCAGACTAGACGAGTAAGTTGTTGAAGGATACATTTTGCGTGGTGAAACATCTTTCTAGTGTGAAAAATACCTGGTTTGTAAAGGTTGTAAAAAAAAATGTGGGCCCATGGAAAATGGTGCACGTGTTGACTCCACTCCTTATTTTTTGTAAAATAAATTATCAAAGAAAGCTAAAAAAAAAAAAAAAAGTAAAAATGATTTTAACTCTCTCAGACTGCAAAGAAGACATTTCTGAGTTCTCTTTACGTGGCTGTGCTGTTTCTATGGAGGTGCAGGAGTTTATATGGTAGTGAAAAATGAAAAAAATAACCTTCAGAGGGTTAAAGCATTTCTGCATGAGCATATTGAATTTATATCCATACTATTATATAAGTTGTGATCTATGAACTATGTGTTTGATTTATCTCCAGGCAACATATACAATGTCTGTCGGTTTTTGTAAATGGATAAAATACTGTCCATATAGTTGAGCCACTGTTGCTTTAATTTGTCCCTCATTACATACAGTATAGTATGTATTTTCAATTATATTTCATTAAAAAAAATATGTTTTCACCTTTGTCAAAGTCTAATAGGATCCAATCATCTTCACTAGATGCTCAGCAGTATGCACATGAACAGGCCTTTCAGTTGCCATGCAGCATGTCTGTGGTGATCCTCAGCAGTTGGGTGCAGATGGATTAAGTGCCTCACACAAAAGCATACACACTATACACAAAGACATTTCATTTCTTTATTAATTTTGTAAATGTTGAGCTGGTGTACAGAGTAAATTGTCAATAGATGTCCTCGGATTTGATTGGATTAAAAGGCTTTTACATGTATATTTTAAATCCATGTTTGACTCTCCATAACAATAAAAAAGCAAACAAAACAAGTTAAAATACCCACAAGACCCCTATTTATCCCCAGGTTGCAGGCATTACCCAGAACTCAACAGTCTCTTGGTAGCTACAGCTGTATGATGCTAAAAGTACATCCATAACATAACTAGAATCCCAGTTGACAAGTAAGGGTGCATAGCATTCTAAGTAAATATATATATTTATATATATTTTCATATATTTCATATATATATAGCCTTTTATGTTAAAAACATTTTCTGTGCATGTGCGCAGTTGCATTCCTTAGTATTGAGTAATATGCTATTGCGTTAATAATGTCTTCAATCCATTCTAAAGGAATATACATGTGTTCTCTAGTTTTTGCAACAGTTAATATTTTTGCATGAACTTGGTGCATGGCATCGTCTCAGTAGTCCCTCAGTGCAGGACTCTCCAGTGTTCGGTTTTCTGATGTAACCACTACTCCGTCTGCTTGCACTTAGTTGGACTCCTTTCTAAACACGTCCAAACTGTCACCATGTGGAAGCCGGAGAATCGGCTCAGTCTCATATTTGGTTAGAGGGCAGAAAAAGATCAGGGGTGGGCTGTGTTGAGGAAAAATGCTTGTCATCTTGAAAGACTAGCCATCGAAGCCACCAAGCGTCCCCATAATTCCATCTGACGTCAAAGTGCTCCCTCTTATTATTTTTTCATCAGATCCCCCCTCGCTCTAACCCTGACATCAGCAGTGGATTTATAAATGGCCCGAGCATACCATAATATGAGCCCATAGAGAGCAAACCCTATGATACACTGGGAGGGGTGCTGCTCACACTGCTGTGTAGGTTTTATTGACATCTAACTTTTTTTGTGGTTATTAAGCAAGAAAATAAAAGAAAAAATATCAGATGAAGGGATATTTGTTAAAATGTCAAAAAACCAATTTGAGGCTTCGCTCTTTAAAACTCTCCTCTGTGTATGTTTGTGATGAAATGCGAATGAAGTCATATGTATTATAATCAACAGCAGATACTGAGTTGAAACAACAGCGTGAACACCCTACTATCTACTGAAGTACAGAGCCAACACAGATGACTACTTCATAACAAGACTCACAGTATACCAAGACTTTACATTCATCATCTCTGGCCGTGAAGCCAAACTAAACACTTATTGATGGGTGCTTATTGCAACGGTTTTGTGACTTACATATTTTTCTAGAATAAAGCATTCAATGTCTGACGCAACGTTTGAAAGAAATGCATGTAGGTAATTGATATAATGTGAGATGGCACGCGTATTGAGGTAAATCAACTTTAAAAAATATGTGATTTAGAATTACACATATAATCTTTGTTCCATTTGCAATATTACTTTCTGTGATATTATCACAACTTTGACATGTCCCAATATCCAGGACTGAATATTAAAATCTCTGTCACGCACACACACACACATACACACACTCAAACGCACAACAGCAGGATTTCTTTCAAGGTGCATATGAATGTCATTAAGGTTTCAAAACTGGCTGAACACACCTACATTCCCCAGATGAGTAACAAAAAACAAACAGCGGGCACTTTGCAGATGGGATGGCTGGTACGAAGTCATACCAAAATACCAATCATTTTCTATTCTAGAGAGGCAAAGTGATAAAATGTGGGATACTTATGTGCTGACATCATTTCTGAGTAGAGTGAGGAGGAGTCTAAAGCTGTGATTGAAAGCCCAGGCTTAGGAACAACAGAAACTATGATCCTAAAATCCTCCCTCATCTGTTTCACACACACACACACACACACACACACACACACACACACACACATACACACACACTCGCACACATACAATCCTTTCCTTTTTGTAAGCAGTTATTGCTTCTTCTAAAGAACAATTAAGACAGTAAATCATGAAAAAAAAAAAGAGACATAACGCCAAAGAAGAGGAGTGAAACAAGAGACATGCTTCGGGAAGGGTCAGGCTCACAGTTACGGGTCAGTATTACAGTTTCTCATCACAGTGATTGGTGACCGACTGTCTTTGCTACACTCCTAAGAACCGCCAAGGAGACAAACATCAAAGCTCAACACATCCTCGACCCTCGACACGACACTTTCCTTTCTCCAACGTCATCTTTTACCCAGTCAAAACCAGTGCTACATTATTACCAGCATTTCAGCTACTTTACCCTCAGCAAGTGACATCTTCAGGTGGTGGTGGTGGTGGTGGTGGTGGTGGTGGTGAGATGGTCTATAAGTGCACCTCGTGTGGTGGTATCATATACTGCATGATGAGGTCAAACAGACGCAGCTACGAGCTGAAGGTGGGATCCTGACCGCCTTGCTGGAGGTGGACAGGACTGCTACATCTACTCTGAGAGGCCGACTGCAGAGGTGAAGAGGTGAGGAGGCGGAGGTTGGGTGATGAGGGAAAGATTGAGGGCGGAGAGAGACATCTTATTAACACAAACCTCATGAGGATACAGCACAGCGGGGGGGGGGACAAGAAAAAGGCGGAGAAGTGGGATGGTAGAGAAGGTCGATCGCTCGTGATAATCTGTCACTCTGTCAAATATCTCATTGTCACCTTCTCCGCAAGGCAAACCACTCTGAGAGAAGGTCGGGGAGGCAGGTTCGCTGCAGAAAAAAAAACCTGCCTCCCAAAGCTCAGAAACCCCCACGGTACAGTAAATGACTTACAGTGTGTCTTCCCTCTACAGTTTGACATGTCAAAAGCAAAGGATGAGAGCACGTGAAAAGCACAAAGAAACAAACAACCGGACACACGTAAATCCGACGTTTAAAACAGGCAGAGCGACACGACATTTGTATGTTCTTGTACCCACAAAGATCTCAAGATATATAGAATAATATATAGCTTCTGACCGAAATGAACCAAACAAGGAAAACAGGGAGGAATTTCTTATGTACCTGAAACAGCAGCATCAGTGGCATCGCATAGGGATCTTATAACATAAACAACACACGTAACACACAGTCACGTATAGAGCATTTTAGTGCATACAATATTATGTACAACACTGATATCCTTGGGTGATAATAGTAGCTTTACTGGACTTAGAGAGCACTGGGACAGGTTTCAAAACTAGTTTGTGATGCTCTTAGCTGGAAGAGTGTGGCGTGGAGGAGGGGGAATAACCTGTTGCCTAGAGACGACGTAATTCTCAGTATTTTAGTCTCTCTTTTTCTTAAGTTTTGACTGATAAACTTTTCCCCGTTGGTTTAGAAAATGGGCCAGTGGTGGTTGACCAAAGCCTACACTGCATGCCTGTCCCACACAGATGTGTCTCCTCCCCATCCCTCCCCCTTTTACCCACCCCTATATTCCCTCAGTATTTGTAGTTAAAGACAGGCCATGCGGCAGCAGTCACTCATGCTGATACAGATAACAGGAAGCACGTTTTGGTTGCTAGTTTTTTTTTGTTTGTTTAGTTTTTTTTTTTTGTCTGTGTTTGGTTTTTTTTTTGTTTTTATACGAAATCATGCTTCTAGCCTAGTAGTAGATGTTTTTTTTTTCCACGGTTTCTTTAAAAAAAAAAAAAGGTAATAAAAACTACAAGTAAATCCGTATCCTTTTTCTTCTGGTGCGTGCTGATAGTCGGCATAGCCACTGTGGTTGTCATTGAGTCGGTGTCTGTTGCCGTTCGTTTCCATCGGTCTGCCTTTTTTAATGTGTGGTCTTCCTCCTGTCAGCTGCTGCTGGTCATGTGTCCATGTAGGATGGTTTTGGTGAAGGGGTTGAATCCTGCGGAGAACTCTGTGGAGAAGAAGGAGGAATGTGCTGATTTAGGGCGAGAAACGCATTTGTGTCCATACTGCACAGAACAGGTGGCATGCAGGCAGGAACAAGTCAATGCAAATGTGAGTAGTTTTGAGTCGGAGATGTTTAAGCTGCTAAATACTGCCAGTAAAATAGCTTCATCTTTGAAATTCCCTTCAACCGATCTTCATATATCACCCAAACTGCCCTTTTCTTTTAAGATGAAATAATAATGAGTGTCTCATTTCTTATTAATGGATGTCCTTAGTGCTGGTCAGCAGTCCAAAGCGTGTCCGAGGCACTCTTGCTTTAAATATATTAACACAACCAACATGGTTTGTTCTCTGCTTTTTTCATGCATTTGTAAAACATTTCTATATTTACCATCACTCCTTGGATTGCCAACAAGACTAAGGACTTGCACTAATAAGAAATGAAGCAGTATTTTTTCATCCCTATCCTTGAAGAGCATCTGATTTTGTATTTTCTTCACTTTTACCTACTAACATTACTGTTCTAGACCCAGTGCAGCATTCCCTTTATTAGTGTTGACCCCTTCTTTAAAAAAACAAAAACAAAACAGGCATTGTGTCACTCTACAACACGTTAGTTTTGCAAAAGCGTTTAAGCAAAAAATGGTTGGCAAAAGTGGTTTAACATTCAGCAATGAGTCACTTGAAATACCAGTAATCTCAGGAATGTCACGGCCTTTACGTTAGAAAGGGCAAGTCTCTCTCTCACACACACACACACACACACATGCTCCAATTCTCTGGACAACTGGCCTTGCAGCATTGACCTTGAGAGCTGTCATTTCATAAGATCCTTCTTGGACCTTTGCTTTGCTGAGTGCACATTGTGCCAACCTTTTTACAGCCTCTCACGACATGCACGACGAAGAAAACAACTGACCTGACATCATTTATTGCAACAATAATGATCTATTTACATCAAACGTATGGAATTATATTTGTGTCCTGTTTCTGGGATACATTATTTTTCTTGACGATAAATTATAAATTGTAGAAAAATGATTAGAATAATTTGTTTTAGGAAAAAATAATTGCCCGTTACATTTAGTTATTCGCAAATAGAAGTCCACACTCTGATGTAAACATGACAAAGCATTGGCCAGGAGGCGAGCTGCCGCAATTTCTATTATTTATTCAGGCTGCAAAGCTATTATGTTTCGTGTAAAGCTCAAGAGGCAAAAAGAAATTACTGGAGCATTCACCTCAGGTTTCTATGGATATGTCTTCTTACGCCATATAAAACTGCATTAAAACTAACTGAAAGTATCCAAATCAAAATCAGTTCTGTACTAGAAAGACATTTCTCATGAGTTAGCAGGCTGTTTTTTTTAACACTTGGGATTTCCAGACGATACAGTTATCACATCTTTTGTACTATCTAGACAAAAAAAGATTCAATTCATCTCATTTTTTGTGCATCATTTATATTTGAACTATTAGTTAAACTGAAGATTCATTTTTGCTGTGCCAGCATCACGTTACATATCATTAGTATTGAATTAAAGGTACATTCAGATGCATTTAATCCAGAGAGACTGGATTAAATGGTCTAGCCCACGAGGCGCTGTGGGTCAGTCCCGTACCTGCGGGGACGCAGCACTCAGTCTGCCTCACTGCTTAACTCTCCGCAGACTGGCACATTTCACTATCTGAGCACCTTTCTTCACATCCACAGTATCGGGCTACATCGGGGGAGGGGAGGGAAGGAAGGAAGGAAGGAAGGAAGGGAGGGTTGACGGCAGAAGAGGTGCGAGGATTGAGAAGAGGTGGGATGACAGGAGCAGAATGAAAGGTTGAGGGAATATTAGTAAGGGGAGAGTAAATAAAGGAGAAAGGGACAGAGGCAGAGAAATATGAGAAAAGAAAAAACAGAAATAGACCCGCAGAGGAAGCAAACAGCGCCACAAGGAGAGAGAGAGGACAGACAAACAGGGAAAACAACACGGGAGATGTAACAGAAATGTGAGAGACAAATAAGTGAGGAGAGAGGAAAAAGAAAGAAATTATGTATAAACAGTCGAGCAAGGACAGAAGTGATGGCTGGCAGTTGGAAAGACAGGTAAGACACTGTAATTGCGGTTCAGAGTAGCGTCAAATAATATTCGCAAAGACATTTTTGTAACAGCTCCAAATTCATGGACATAAGACAATACACCAATTTCAAGATATTTCACACAATCAGATCTTTTTTTTTCATGGACAGCCCACTGGTCTTAATCATCTGGTGTGTTGGACCCCCAATGACTGTAAATAATATTTGACCCAGCTCTGATTCAGAGGCTCGTGTTGGTTTCAGTGATAAGGCACACAGTCACAGTTGAAGGACTACAAACTTTAATGAAGACAAAAAGACAGAAGAGTAACTCAGTGAGGTAACCGATGGGGGAGAGAATGGAAAATAGAACCACTGCAAGGAACCACGGTCAGTTCATTCAGTCATTAAGAAACAAACACATGAGCTGTGGGTGTGGCTTAGTGATGACTAAAACGATGGAACCCTGAATGAGTGATGGACTGTGAGCACCGGCAGCAGAGCAGAGTGGACTCATTTGTTCCTCTTACATGCAAAAGATGAACATTAGACAGGAATATTTAGGAGGAGATTAATGTTACAGAAAGTCAACAATCAAGCAATTAACCCAACACCTCGTCTCTCTGTCTTCTGTAGAGATTTATGTCTGACACACAATGACACAGGGCTTTAAAAATTCATAGGACCACAGACTGTGTTAATGCAGCTACATGAGGACTGTCAGAGAATCCACAATGAGGTGAGAATTTCAAGCCTGCTGCAGCACAGTGTCCCTGATTCACTAGTTACAATTTAAACAACAGGGCCTGGTGAGACGGCGTTCAGATGTAACCTCTGATATCATTCAGTCCATTTGCGGCTCTAAGGGCTCCCTGCACACCCTACAGCTAACAAAGGGAGCCTCAGGTGAGACCGAGAGCTGCCTGCAGATCAGAAGCCCACCTTGCTGCTGTCCCGACCCAAGATGGCGTAGCTCATGAACTGCTCAGCATCAACCTCCAGCTCGTTGGCGTCCTGCAGAGAACTCTCCACGCTCACCTCCTGAACCCCCTCCTCACCTGAACCCTTCCCTCTGCGCACCACCTTACGCACAATCTATCACATACACACATGTACACAACAACACAGGAGGGTGGGAGAGAGTGGTAGGTAAGGTGGTGGATAAGGTGCGGAAAAGGTGGTGAAAAGACTGAGCTGGTGTAATATGAAGAGTTGTTTATGGAGAAATAACTCATTGTATTTAAAAATAACAAAAACAAAATATATATCCATAGTGTGATGGAAGAACTTTGTCATGATTATTAGTTTAATAATCAATCTGAGGGGAGATGCTGAGTGAGTTTTGTGTCAGGAAAACAACACATCTACTGCAGTTTAAACAATCCTATTTCAACACATTTTGAAAATGGCTGACCTTTTTTGTGACAATGTTTCCATGTTCATCCGTGAACTGCTCCTCGCTCACTTGCTCCCCAGGAAGGTCTTCAACCTCATCGCCCTGCAGAGACACAACCATTTGTATCCTTAGGTTCTTTTTAAACTAAAGCATATCAAAATAACCGTCGCTGCAGTGTGATTGTTTGCATGCCATAAATCCCTCCATCAGCTGGAAACATGGAGATGAGCAACAGATGGGTGAGGGGGTTAGAGGTTTGTTTGTTGGAGCGAGTGAAGCCACAGTTCACAGGGATCCACTGTTCGCACCAATGTTTCTTAGCGACACTTTTAATTGCATTTCATGAGGCTCGTGACAATACTTTCATACCCCCTAATAATCTGCAGCGTGTGTGCACGGCTATTTATAAGTTCAAAGAAATGCCTGCAGTGGGACAACCGAGCAAAGACCGAGGGAAGGTTGTGAATGAAACTCCAACATTTGCAGCGCTAAAGTGTTTTGGTATTGAGGGAGTTGGAGATACAGCAGGAACAAAATGCCACAGAGAGAGACCTCTTAAAAAGAATTGGAGTTCAGATCTGTTAAGCTGAAGACAATCTATTTACATCCGTAACAGCAGGAGATAAATTTAGCCACATTCTCAAAGTAATTTGACGGTGTTTTCACTTATTAAAGGAGAATTCACTGTTATCATGATATAGATTTAGGTTTTTGTTATTGCCCAACATGTATACAACATTTCTTTGTGTCCACAGCATCCTTGGTTAGCCCTTATTGCCACTCTTGTCACTCTCAGTCCACTCAAATCTCATAAATCATTTACCCTTACTACCACAAACCTATCCTGTATCATTCATAGACTGCATTCTTAAACCGATCGCCAAACACTAGCAGCGAATCCTCTGTCCACATCTCTTCTCGACTCTCCTCTACTCCCTCTCTTTGTACCTTGAGAATGACTCTGCGGCGGACCACTCTGGTGGTGACGTTCTCCTCTTCGTCAGCTACTCCCTCGACCTCCCCGAGCTCGTGGTCCAGCTGAGTGTGTATGTAGGTGAGCACAGACCTCACCGAGCCACTGGCTATGTGGAGGACATTCTGGCAGCTGATCACCAGGAAAGCCAGCAGCACGAAGCTGAAGAGGAGCTCGGTCACCAGGGCCCACATCGCCCCACGTTGATCCCCAGCAAATCAGCACAGTCTGCACACGGCAAATGCACGACTGCGGCTTCAGTCCCTCAGCCTTCAGTGACTCCTGCTTCTTTCGTTGCAGCGCTTCTCCCAGCAAAGAGAGAAGGTAACAGCTGCAGCCCTTTTCCTTTTGTCACTGGGTTAGTCAAACTGGTGTTGTGTCTTTCAGTTCATATCTGTCCTCCATTAGCTGGGGCAGTGGGCCCTCTTTCCCCTGCTCTGTCTTCCGTCTCCTTCCCCCTGTCAAGTGTCTCCAGTCAAAGACATCAAATCCAACCTTGGGTGGCTTCTGTTCCCACCTCTCTCACTTTCTGATCATGTGATCTGTGGACTTTAAATACCTCCAGCTACTCCAGTGTGGCTCTGTGTGCTGTGGTACGTACACTGGGAAACATACTACTCTAGCTACAAAATATTTGTAATTCCTTAAGATCCACACAACCTAGCGGGCACGTTTCTTCAAAAACACTATGCAGACCTAATTATGCGGCACATACTGCCTCTAAACAAAGCCTGGATTGGCTCTTTAATCACCAGTATGAGCCACGTACAGTATCAAGCGCACAACGGCCCTAAATGCAGCACTCTATTTTTGCTTTCGCACTATTTTGTAGCTGAGATTGTCCGTTACAGTGTGATGCGTCTGTGTTGTGCCAGAAAGTGACCATGTGGGAATGGCTGTGGTGGGGGATCATGTAACATGAGAGGAAGAGTGAGAACGCTTTCTAATTTTGGCGAGACACGCTGTTTGTGCCCATCTTGGGCCGTAGACCCTGTGTGTGCTTGCGGTTGTGTGTTTGTGTGTCCTGTGTGATTCTAGGGTCTAGTGTGCATAACATACAGCCAGTCCAGGAATTCTAGGTGTCATTTCTAGAGGAAACTAAAACAAATAACACCAGTTTTCTGCTTGTGTCTGATCATCATGGTGGTGAATCTGCTGTACTGGATCATATCTGCCAAATCAGCAGAGAATACTGGCAGCAATTGAAATGTTTGACTTTACTTTAGCTTTACTTTGCTCACTGTACTTCGCAACATTTTTCTGCAGAAGGCAGGTTGAATCTATGGTTGACTGTAGCATCTTGTACAGTTGAAATTAGGTTAATATAACGCAAATCACAGTGGTTATAAGCCAAGTTGTTGCTGTGGTAATAAGGATGATATGTGATTTGGTCCAGACTGGAGTATCTTGAATATTGGATGAACAGCCCTGAAATGCTGTACAGACATTCATGGTTTCCAGAGGATGAGTCCTACTCACCTGGCCCTTCAGACGTACATCGTCCCAGGCCCTCAGCTCTGGTACCCGGTGTGGAAAGCCCAAACCCTTCTCGAATGGCTGGGTACCTCTGAAGTGCCCCCTCAAGATCTCAGAGTGGCCCATGTCCCTCACAGGCTGAAGCAAGGCCTCTTGGGACACGCGGGACTGGTCGTCCACAGCGTTACGTACTGATGACATCATGGTTTCCATGGCCTGCCTGGACTTAGGCTGGTTGCCCACCCAGGCCTGAGTAGGGTCAGTGACAGGGATCCACCCTGGGCCTGTCTGTTCCTGCAGGTAGGAAAGGAAAGAGCCTCCACCACCTCCGTTTCCACCATTACCTGACCTGAAAGGACATCAGTGGATCAATGAGGAGGTGGTGCGTACATTAAACATGCTCACTGCAAAGACAATCAAACAGCTTTCATAGGTTCCAAGTGATCAACTTGTCTACTTTTATTGACATGCAAGTAAAATGGGATTCATAGTTTTGCTGTGACTTTGCAGCACCTGAGAGGCGAACAGAGGTCGGACTCACCTGTCTCCATTCCGATCTGCAACACAGCTCAGACCAGGTGACTCACTCAACCGAGCATACACCCTTTGCTGTCCTGCAACAAGAGAAAGCCCTTCCTCTGAGCCCGTCCCGCCTTCTCCTCCTCCTCCTCCTCCTCCTCCCCCTCCTCCTCCTCCTCCTCCTCCAGCTCCGTCACCACCAGTCGTGCTTGTGACTGCTGATGCCTCTGAACTTGCCTCTGACCCCTGACCATTGTTCAGCCCGTTAAGATTGATCCCAGCGATGGTGCCCCCAAGCGAGGCTGGCGTGGTCGTGCTGAGCGAGTCAACGCCCATCTCTGAATCGTCTTCGGGTAGCTCAATGGAGCCACTCAGCACAACACCCCCTCCGCTGGCTGCGCTGGCCTGACTGGCCGGCCGACCCAGACTTCCATACGGTAGCCCCAGCAGACCTTCTGAATCGTCAGCATTGCTGCACTCCAGCGAGGAGTCCTCCACAGGCACCAAGGAGGGACTGTTGCCTGAGGGCCACACCTGCACATCAGACATCTCCATCAGGGTGTCTTCTTCTGTGGTGGCAATGGGTGCACAGTCCAGACTGGAGACCTCTTGCCAGTAAGGCTCAGCACCCAACGGGGAGGGCAGGCTGTACTGCATGGAGGCCGGCGAGAGAAGCTCTTCCTGCGCGAGCCCATAACCTGGAGCGGGACAGAGAGAGGCACACTGACACCCGGCCCCCCGCCTCGCTCCCCACCTCACCCCCACAGCATCGGGACCCTGGGAGGGGGTAAGTGCCCCTGCCCAGGAGCTGGGCATCTAGGGGAGGAGTAGAGGAGGCTGAAGGGACAAATGGGAAAGGTGTGGGGCGAGGGGAGAGAGGGGGAGGGCCAAGACAATAGGAGCTAGAATAACGGTGCAAGGAGCTTAGGACAAGAGAGCAAGGGCGGCTTTTAAAAGAGGGGTTGTCAAGCTCAATCAGCCAGCGCTGACGGTGAGAGCAGCAGCGGCAGCAGCAGCAGACACAGCCAGACGGACCGAGAGACTGAGACTGAGGTTCGAACCCAGCAGTGACTGATGCTGCTCTGCTGGCTGCCACCTGCAGGGAGACGGAGAGGGATTACTGACACCTGTCCAGCAGGGACACACACTCTGTCTTCATACTGACACGCACATACACTCACACTCATATATGCATGCTTTCAAACCCACTCAGAAACAGGCAGGTTAATATTGTTGTCAGGCTGGATTGCATGCACGCAGGCAATCTCATTTTCTCCTCACATCCGAGTGCACACATACATCAGCTCGCTCCACACAGCTGCTTCCTCTCACACTGACACATACATTTATTATAATGCATTCAATATACCACAGCTATATAAACATAGAACTTATAGTATTGATAATATTTATGCAAACACAGTTAAAGCAGACTTAAATTTTTCTTCTGTTGTGAAAGCCACACGGTTGCTGCCTCAAACAAAAAAAATTTAGTTATATTAATTAAGTGCAATTTTATCAGTGAGTAAAACTGCACACTGTTCATGTGCTGTGGACTCAGGTCACTCCTACAGCTGTTACTTGAACACCACTGGTAACATCATTTTTTTTTCTTGTAAAAACCAGACCTGGCACGATAGAGCACAATGTCACAACAGCAGGGATGATGGTTTTTTTGGGTTTGTTTTATTAAGTTAACAATATGCTCAAAACGAAAGAAGTTGAAGACAACAAGGAGTGCACATTGAACCTGCAAATACACAAATACGTTTGTAACCCTCTAAATGAATTATTCTGAAAATGGCCCTGACCTAGGTGAATCATTTATGTGAATAGTTTGATGAATGGCAATGTGGGTAAAGCAAAGTGTGAGAGGCAGTATGACTGTAACATATTACCAAGAAGTGTATTAACCAGAGGATGAAACTGAAGATGCATTGTGGGGGCATACAGTACTTAGATAATAGCAAGAAGAGGAGACAATTTCCCTAATGCACGGCCATGTGCGTATGCATAGAGAGAGACTGACTGTATGCTGAAGAGTGATGAGAAAACTGTGCAGGGCAAAGGGTGTAACTTGATTCATGGCTGGCAGCAGACTACTGCTGAGAGTGCAGGAGATATTTGAGACACCAAGCGGCAAAATAAACCCCTTGTCCTACTTTCTCTTTCACCTTCCAAACTGCTGTCAGTTGTCTGTAGGAACTAGTAATGACGACTATATATAATTCTATCAGTGCTTTGTCTTATGGAGATAGCGCTAAAATAAGGATTTGTACAAACAGGAGTTGCTTTTAAATGTTCTTGCATTCCTGGTGCAACTGTACAAGTTCAAAGCCATCATTTGGTGTTTATTTGGGGTCTCAGAAGATATTTTGACATCTGCAATGTCAAAAATGTCAGGGGCCTCAGTCACAAAAGCTCAGATGGCATTTTGTTTAACTTGAAATGTTTTTTTTCACATTTGTTGGTACACTGATAGTTTAAATCTGACAGAAAATACAGTAAAAGCTATAATTGCATCATCAAAATCAAATTTCAGTGCATTCTTAATACAACTGAAATAAACTGATCCTATCCTTGTCTATTCACTAGACTCTAGATTCATTGAATAATGTCATGTTGTGAATATCTGACAGAAAAGCAAAGTGTATTCTGAAGAAAAAAAGCATATCAAACATTTCTTGGTGCAGGATCACACGTATATTAGACAGATATATATATTTGGTGACGTGTTTTTGAAACATGATTATGTGTTATGAGTCTGTTTTTGGTGAAACATGACAAAATATGATGTGAGAAATTCTGGTTGCCATGAATTTGTCAGTCCTCTCTCCATGTCAGTAGATTTGAAGATGATGGTGAAAGAAAGATATGTTTTTTTTTTGTTGTTTTTTTTAAATGAATGGTGAGTGTGAACTATGAGACATGTATCTGTGACTGCTGGACCCACCCCCTGACTGAAACACAGAAAAAACACAGAAAAACGAGGGAGTGAAGCACACATACAGATATATACCACTTTTTGCCCGTACACACTGGGCAAACACGTATATGGAAACCACGAAACACTTATATTTTACAAATTAAAACACACATGGAGACGCACACACACTGATACACTCACACACAGACGGATTTTACAGTTCACAGGAAACGATAAGCACATTTACAATAAGGAGGAGAGACAATGTCAGATTGACCGTAACACGACACTCACAGAGTCAATAAAAACATATAATTCACACAAAATAGGATGGACAGTTTACGTAGAACTCAGCGACACACAAAACAACCACAGCATTCATACATGAACAGAGCAGACACGAGTCACAGTTCACAAAAAAGGTCTGTGGCCTTTTTTTAACCCCCCTTAGGACAGATCACTGAGGAGTAACAGAGACAGACTGTAAGATCATTCTCAGTATGCATGCCATGCAGAGACACATGTCTGTTGGTCAAGCAGCTTTAATGCAGTGTTTGAAGCCTTATCTCCGGCATGCCAATGTTCCTGCTGCTCCTCGTCCCAGTGTGTCCATGCAAACACAGAGGGAGACGAGCAATGAAAGTCTTGTGCACATGCCGACATGCAAGGAGGGCAGGGAAAGAAGGGACAGGAAAGGAGTAAGGGGGGAAAGAGAGAGGGGCAGCGAGAGAGAAATAGAGGAATATAAAATAGGGTGATGAACACAGACAGAAACAGTGAGAGAGAGTGAGGGTCACCTCCCCCCTCCCAGTGGGTGCTGAGTACACAGTCTGTGTGAGGGGTATCTGTCACAGAGCGGACATTTAAAAAGGTGGGGTTTTCAAGAGTAAAAAAAATAAAAAAATAAAGGAAAAATGCACTAGTCGCAAAAAAAACAAAAGCTAAAGATATGGGTCAGAGGTCAACATGAGGTCGGCATGAGGTCAGAGTTCGGAGAGGAGTGAGAAGGAGGAAGAGTAGGGCGGCTAGGCTGCAGATGACATGTCCAGAGAAACACATAGAGAGGGACAGATTCACAGGGAATGAAAACAGGGCTCCCAAAAGGACATTCAGTGCACCAACATTAACCCTAAAGAGACTACTCCTCATGCAACAACAGGCAGACAGAATTTAGATGCCCCCTTTAGAAGTGTCTAGAAGAAGAGATCCTACTGTGCTACCATCTCGTGTATTTTTTATATTTTCTGACTGGAAATTGTCTTGAACAAACCTTAGAAGTTTGCTTACCTACAGTAGAGGTGCACAAGAAGTATGAAGGAAAACTGAAGAGAAGAAACTTTTTTGTCTGTAAAAACACTACTTTGCTGATAGTGAGGAATAGGATTCATTTGCACGGAGGACTGAACCTGACTTTGAGAAATAATTCAACATTTTTGGATGTACATGTGTTTCCTTCCATTGCCAAGCATTAGCTGAGATGAATGATACCACTCTCATGTTGCTACGATAAATATGAAGCTACTGCAAACAGCCAGTTAGCTTAGCTTAGCATAAAGACTGGAAACAGAGGGGAAAAGTTAGCCTGGCCCTGTCTGAATTTGATCTACTTCTACAACTATCTCTTAAGCTCAGGGGTGTATATGTTAATTTATAATGACAAGCTGTGGTTTTGCAGGAGTTTGTATTTCTTGGCACAGTAACTTGTTGCCAAGAAACTTGTACAGAACCCAGTCACCGCACTCGGCCAAAAATAGAGGCAGGACAAAGCTGGCATAACAGGCCAAAATATACCCGGGGTTAAAGGAGGCTGGCCTGTTATAACTCAGGTATATTCTAGCCTGGTCTAGTTCACACACTGTGTATTATTTGGGCTTTTTCACACCCGCCTATTTAGCTTTGTACAAACAAGCTGTTCACTAATCTGACATTTAGATGTCAAACTCATTGGCTTTCAAGTACAAACTCAAAACTATCTGGATTCCAACTAAATTAAATCACACAACGTACTCTAATTACTTTATACTATGGTTATACTTTGTGTTGGTATAATTATTGTACCGTGGTTCAGGTTTCACATCCAAAAGTTATTTACCCTTCAAATAAAAGCCATTTGTATTATCACAAGACAAAATAGTGATCACAGAGAACCACATTTTACAAACTAAATATTCTGTCAGTGCAATATGATGGCATTTTGACTTTTTGTAGCATCCTCTGCTGTCGAAACTTTAAGAAATGATTTTTGTGGATCTAAAATCATTACCTCAATAAACGGTGGATGGATTTTGTTTTTTATTCTTCACTGTAGGTCTAGTATGTTAAGTTAAAAAAAAAAAAAAACAGGTTACAGCATTGTATTACCAATAGCTTTGATGTGATTAACCAATAATATTACTTAAAAAAGTGACACCCCAGATTGTGAAATACCCAAAAAGAAATCATTGGTGTTGCTCTTTTATGCTGCAGTGTCCTGTTATATTTGCAACTTATGCTGTAAAGAAAACACTCCAGACACTGAAATACACACTTTCCCATGAAACAACACAATGAGGTGTTATCTAGACTATGGGTGTTTGAGATATAAACCAGCCTAAGCTATTGTATACCTGGAAGATCAATGTATAACTGGGTACCTACGTATAGTTTGGATGGAGGTTTATCTGGGCTGGTGCACCTGTACTGCTCTTTGCTCCTGTCTCTAGTCTCTTGGCTAATCTAAGCTAACCAGCTGGTGGCTGTAGCTTCATATTTAACAGCCTGACATGAGACTCACATCATCTTCTCGTCTATCTAGTGCGTGGGAAAAGCTCTTTAAATAAATAAATAAACCTGTTCAACAAATTGAGAAGTTGACTAGTTTAAAAGTGAGCCTGATGCATAAAGAAATCAAAGACAAATGTAAGAATTTTGTCCTTCACTGCACTTATAGATGTATTTTCTTTTATTTATTTGTAATTTTATTGATTGACTCATGATATTTATGGACTAAAAAGTCAGGCTGGATGTTGAACTTGGCTGCTGTGCCTTTAAGATGTACTAAACCGGATCCAGTAAGTCATACGCCTCATGAAATCTGCTACCGCTGTAAAATAAGGACGAAGACACAATATCCAGATATTTGAAGCCACCAGGTCAAAGCAGGAACAGCCTTTGGGAGGCAGGTAGCCGGACAGATAGACAGAGAAGACAGATACACGGTAATCAGATTCACTGCAGCTGTGATCTGAGCGTCTCCCTTTTCACCCTTTGACCGTCATGGTCACATCTGTATGCATTGTTACATCTCTGATTATTGCTCCAGTTTTCACAGAGAGGACCTGTCGCCTGTCCGACTAACTCTTCATCTGCACGGGATACAGAGAGGAGAAGCCAGTCCAGGAAGAAAGGGGGCTCACACCAGTCCAGAGGTGAAAATGGAATCAATAAGATGTAGGATATGCATGTGTGAAGGAAACCATGAGGAGAAGGAGTAAAAGACTGAGGACTGACAACTGGTAAGAAGGCCAGATCTGCTAGGCTATACTTATGATCTGTGTGGACTGATCATGTATGACAACGTGTTTTATAGACAGGATATCATGCTAAATTATAGTCCATTTAAATCTTAAATGGTGCACACAAGTCTAAGAAGTTATCAAATACTATAAGCTGACTAAGTTGAGCACATCTTAAGCACCTAAGAAACAATAAAAACACTAATAAACTATTCATAATAGGATAGTTTATTTACCTCTGTGTGGAATAACTAGAGCTTCCACTGAAGATTAGAAGTCTAGAAAACCAGTGACCCCTCCCCAACATTCATCCTGTAATCGTTATTTTCTGTATACTTCACTGCATTTCTCTATGACCTTCCATCGCAGTAAATGAACACAGTGATAAACGTAAAGCCAAAGGCTCTACAGAGGCTGTGGTACAGTAGGAGTGTCCTGAGTCCCTCTGCATGTTGGTGAGGCAAAATCCTGCAAAAGTTTGACGTTTGTGGCAGCGTTCATACACAAGAGCATCACAGGAAATAATAAATGAGAAAGACACAAGGACATCAGAGAGAATTCAGAGGGAAACTTCACTTTGTCTTTTGGGGATTTCAGGAAAGGAGGATGTATGTTTATTGGAAAAGTGGCTTAGGGTCAAGGCAAAGGGGACAACGGGAAGGGGCTGCATTGTGGGATCTGGGGAAGGGAGCTTACCATTGGTCATACCAGGGGAGAGGTGCTCTCTCTCATTGTGTCGGCGTCTGCTGAGATCACGGGAGCCTTGTCTCACGGGCTGAGGCGGCTGGCCCTCCAGCATGTTGATGATGTCCATACGGTCGATGCTCTTCAGAGCTGTGTATAAGCTCTCCACTGCAGTGAGGACACACCAAGAAGAGACACCAGCAGAGGAGGATAAAGAAAGGGAGGGGAGGAATTTCCAGCAATTATAACAATCGAACTTTGACTGGATTAAAGAGGCAAAGAGGGGGAGGGGGATCAAAGCAATTCACAGCAAACTCAGATCTCATTGACTCACTCTTGGCCCTCTTGCCTTCTCGAGTGGCCCACAGGTTGAGCAGCGCAGAGCTCTGCTCCAGCAGGGAGTTTGGATTCTCCACACGGATCTTGTTGATGTCATCCACACTGAGCTGAAGCTCACGTGCCAACTCTGTTTAGAAAATGAGACCGAGAAGATCAAGTAAGCAAAGGAAATATTTATATCATTTAGTGCATGAGTCATGCTGTGGTAGCACACACAGTCTGCTTCTTGAAATGGTTCACTGCTTCACAGTAGCTCTATCCAGAGGAAGGGGAATATTCTCTCTGTAAAATAGCTATGGCTCTTGGCAGGGAAGCAGAAAATAATTAGTTTCATTGGCTGGGCACCATGTTATAGCTTTGTTTGATCAGCGGCGTGCTAGGCAAGCTTGTCAGACACAAGATAAACATGGATGGTTTCAGTAAATTCTCACTGTTCACTCACCAGCCCAGCTCAGTCCCAACTGTTCTGCAATCACAGCCATCTTCAGCTCCGTCCTCTCCATGGCACTCATCGATGCTGCAGAGATCAGAGCATAACTGAAACCTTAACATGACAGTTTATTAAATATGAATATGCTGATGGATTGGGGATCTGCTGTAGATTGAATCATATGATGAAAAATGCAATCACACTGTGTCTTGAAATTTTTCACAGAGAACATAAGTAGATATAATAACTGAGTCTCATACCCATAGCAGGCTCATTTAGAGCGCTGTATCTTTCTCTTAAAGCCAGCGGGGTCAGAGTTCGCCTCCGGTCTTCACTTCCAACAATCTGCCAGCAAACACCACCGTCAGACATCCCATTTAAAGTAACTATAGTTAAACACAGAGTATGAGTCTGGTCATAGGTAACTTTACCTTAATACATGGAGGCATGGTGATGTTGAGGTTGCAGAGCACATGTTGGCTGTCCTCATACTTTGTTGTCTTACGCAGGAAAGACAAAAACCCAGTTGGCTCTTTACTGCTGTCTCTCACCTTAGAAACAGGCAAAGCAACGATGAGTACGGTGGGCATGGAGCTGATGGAGTAACACTGAGCAGCAAAGAACACAAAACCAAAGAAAGCCTAAATCTAACACCTTAACAGAGACTGGAAGTCGGTTATCTCTGAAGGCCTGGAAGCTGAAACAGCGAGGCTGCTGCGTGGCCTTCCTCACTGGCACGAGATTCCCTGAACACTCCAGGTGAAGCGGCATTCCTTCCATTACCTGCACGACGTCATGGAGGCATTAGTCAAAGCAGAAACACAGAGCATGCTCCCAGCAGACCTTGTGTCCACTTACATCACAATAAACAAAGCTCACATCATGAGTCTAAGGCTTTTAACCAGTAATGTAGAAATACTGACCTCTATGTCTCTGCTACGAGCCACTTCTGTGAAGTTCTCGTGTTGTTCCAGAGTTTTGTCCATCTTGTCGTCAGTCATGCAGTAGCAGCGCAGACGGCCTTCGCGCAGCTCATTCATCTTTGCAAACACCACAAACTTGGCCATGTAGGGTACAGCTGACAGCTCTCTATAGAGCAGGTTGGCAAAGGAGACGGCCTCAGCTGTCCGAGGACAGTCTGCGAGCCAAAATCTGAGAAGAGGCAATCATATGTAATCACAGTGTTGCATGTAAATGTACTCTGTCTTCATTAATCACAGTCAAGCTGCTCCACTGAAAATAGCAAATATTTACAATAAGCCGTTTTACAGTACAGAGATTGATCTATTGTACGTGAACTCACCGTGCCGAGACATTGGTTGTGAAACTGGCGCAGTCATTAGCATAGACAAGCTTGGTGGTGCCAGTGATGTCCTCCCATTGGGCTGGAGCTGTACCACCTGGGAGTCAGACAGGATGAGAAAACTGAGTGATCAACGCTCATTTCTACAAAGCATAACAAACAGTCTTTTATCCATCTGTGGCGCTGACATCTTTCTCCACTGTAAATGAGCACTTTAGCACCATAAATCCTTCTTGCCATGGAAGCAATCTGCTCCCATTGAAACAAACACATATAATTACTCAGCCACCCACACAACTCTGAGTTGTGGCATTCGGTACCTATGACTGAGCAGAGCAGACGCAGGCTGGTGGTGTCGCCCTCCCCGGAGTCTCGGGGGCTGTCCCTCCAGGACGGGGGCAGGGGGATGCGCAGGCCGATGGGTCGGTGAAACTTGCGCCGCCGAGGCTCCACGGTGACCACGGGGCTAAAGTTTGCTTGGTTACCCAGCAGCTTTGCAACAAGCTCATCTGGAACCGGCTGAGCCTGAGGGGGGAAAGTAAACGACGGAGAGAGGGGGCACGTGATGGAGGAACAGGTTTGATGATGTGGGAAATAACCCAAAAGAGGGAAACATGAAGAGGCAATGGAGGTTTTAAAAAATAATGAAATAAAAGGACAGCAGGCAGATTGAGATAATAGTAGGTGGATAATGAGGTGATGGAAAAAGAAAAAAGGGTAAAAGCGAGGACAAGCAAACCAGGAAAAATTGAAGAGAAAGAGAGAGAGAAGTCCACAGTGAATAAAACGTCTCATAGTTGAAACAAAACATTTGGAAAAACAATAGCAACACAAACTGGTTGTAGGACTTAATAGCTTTTTTTATTGTAAAATGTAACAATGAGTGTTAACAAGAAGCTTTTACAATCATTAATACAAAAGGGATATCGCAGAAAAAAAGGCACTGTGGCTTTTCACAAGGCCATTCAAGACATGATGACTACAATAACATTATAGGTAAATAGATATGTTCCTAAAAAATAGTCGTGAAATAGTTCAAAATAAATCTGCTCTGAATATTATAACAATTTCTATTTAACTTACATTCAGTTACATTCACTATTCTCATCTCGGAGGTTACAGGATGTGTGGTAGCATGTTAGTCTACAAGACATGTTTAGTTTAATATGAATTCATTTGTGTGTCTAAAGCTAAACATGCAGTCGAAGGTCCATTCACACCGTATCCATCTTTCATTGTTGATTTACTGATAAATATTCTGACATTAGAATCACATCTGATCATTAAAACCATACCTACATATTAATAGAAGACTTTGAGTTAGACATTTTTTTAAAAGTTTGTTACAAATAGAAATTAATGCAAGCAGAGTCTTGAGTGGAAATAAAAATCTTGCCAGGAGAAAGAACATGCAAAACAGTAGAGTGGGTATATTTAACCTGTCAGTATTAAATCACATGCAAACAGAATCTTGAAATCTCAAGTCAGCAAATCTGAGAAAATGTACAACAGATATATCCACAAGAAGGAAAGGATGACATTTAATGTACCTTTAGTTTAGAAACCTTAACAAATGCTTTTGATTAGTGGTACAAATAAGCCAAAATAAATCAAAATCTTATGACTGTTGACTGGATCGTTGCTTTCAAAAGGTTTAATCTGCAGTTTAACCATATTAAAGAATTGCAGGTCCAAATGTTCTGATTTTAATCTTACAGTTAACAGTCCAGTGAAACGGTATCATTAATTCCTTGATCTGAAACAGGATGTTTGTGTGATGGACATTAGACACTGAGAGCTAAATCATGAGGGGGATGTTTGTGTAAAGAAAGCTGTTTGATTTGATAAAATGAGCAGGAAAAAAATACGCTGAAAAGGATCCTCATAAATATGTTCTTTATAAAAGCTTACTGTTGAATTGAATGCGCTATATTATTTTAATACTTCTCATGTCTTTGGTGTGCATGTTTGAGAAAATTTGGCCTGAATAAAAGCAGCCAAAAACTCCAACAAACAGTGAAGAAAAAAGTAAAAAGTTCTGAAGCTCACGTGTTCAGGTGTCACGTTGTGAAGAGAAAGATTTGTGTTCTTCTAAAAGACGGCCTTTCAGCGCATTTTTTTCAACATTAATGATACCAAAACCACTGGAAAATACATACACAGTCTGTCCTGACAAAAACAAGTATGCAGAAGATTAAATATCTCTTAGATGTCTAAAATTATTGTGTTAAATATACTAAATATAAAGTACAGGGCTTGCCAGTGACATAAATACATTAGTGAGAAAGACGTCACTGAAGACAAAACAAACAAGAACAATATCAGCACTGAATGAGCAGTCCACTGTTGTATGAAGGTGCCAAGTGCATGCAATGGATAAAATAAAAAAGGCAAAAAGGTCCTCTAAAAATGTGAAAAGCAAAACAAATAATATCAGAAAATGAAATCAGGAAAACTTGGCACAAGCGCTGATATGATCAGGTCATTCCACAAACAATCAAAGTAAATCCAACATGCTTTTTATTTTCAGGCAACACAGGCATTAACGATTCTGTCTCTGCTCTCCTTCCTTCTCCTCATCGTCCCATCTCACCTGCAGCCCCAGGCGGACTCGTTTGGTGACCGCCGTCTCAGGAAACGTGGCCTGGACCATCGGCACAAGTTTACTTGTCAGCGAACCGCCCTCAGGACCAATCAGGTCGCTTTCTTGCTGCACTCGTGACACGACAGCGAAGTAAAGGGGGAAGTCGGTGGAGATGATGCGGCGGATTCGCTTCTTTCCGAGTTCCTCTTGACTTTCCAAGTCTGGAGGGGAGAGAAGACACGGTTATATTTTTTAGAAAGCGATGCCACCCAGTGACGTGTGCGAGTCCGTCTGAAGTCGACCGTGTCGTGCTTAAACTCTCACCTTCATCCATTCCGTTGAGGATTGTTTCTAGGACCTCGTCACCGTAGCGATTGCGGTGTTCCTTCCACACTGATCCATTTTCACTCCTCAGCACCACGAGCTCCCGATCGCCACGACCCAGAGCAGCAAAGTGGGGGATCTCCACTATCACCGGTCTGCAACGCACATGGAAATATACACAATTACATTAAAAATATATAGAAAATGTAAAAAAAAACAATACACGCCAAACAGGCATTGCTTGTATCAGCGTTCAGGCTGTTCTACTGTTGTTGAGCCTGTTGGAACTGATGATGTGAACATTTGGAAAAAACTTCACTATGTCATAATTTGAGTAATAATAGTAATAATAAGTACAATATTTTGCAGATAATGTAATTACTTATAACAAATTACATCCACTGGGGCAGAAAATTTCCTCAACAAAATGAAAACAGTAAATCAAATGCAGGACCAAACTGACTGTTTATGCAGTTTGTTCCAGGTGAACAAACAGCAGAAAGTTTCCTCACCCCAGGAACTGCATGCTGGCTGGACCCAGGGAAATGATCCTGCTGGCCAGCCCCTCTCCCTCCACCAGCGGAGGGGGGCTGGTCAGCTTCTGCGGCTTCACCAGGCGGCAGGTGATGCGGGTGGGTGCCGCACACGTCCGTGGAGGTATGATGACACGCAGACCATTATGCCTGCTGCCTCGCATGGAACCGCCCCGAGCGTCCACCATAAAACTGACCAGGAACCTGCCATTAGACAAAGATTGTGACAGTCAGCTGCCTGACTGGATACCGAACAGAGATCAAGAGAAGTAAAAGGTTTTCTTCTGTGCTCGCTGCACTGACCCAGTGTGTATGGGACTGGCCACCGGGCTGACATTGTCTGACGTCTCGGTTGCCGGGCTGCTGGGAATCAGCGAGTCCTCGTCATATTCTTTGGGCAGTGGAAGTGGAGTGTGTTGCTGCAGCAGAGAGAAAGATAAAGTGTTTGTGATTCTACAATAATGTTCATGTGTTAATCAGAGAGAGCATTAACAGAGCTATGATGAAATATTACACCTAATTTGATGTTTAAAAGCAGAGATTCCCATTTTAAATGTATGAAAATGACCACATCACTTTCCATGCAAGGTCACTTACAGGTGTACATTTAGACACTTTAATCAGAATGGTGTATTTTAGATTTTTTTTTTTTTAAAAACAACAACAAAACAACAACACATCCATAATACACAAGCCTTCATATTGATACAATTCCAGCCTTAGTGTGAAAGTTAATTCCTGACCTTGGAAACAGCATTTTGACTTTAAAATGTTGACTTGGAGCTTTTTACATTTTTGTTTTTTGAACTCCAAGCAGTTTCAGGGTTTTTGTTGTTGTTGCTTTGGTTACTTTTTTGACTCAATGTGGGCTCATTTTCCACTGCAGCATAAAGTCCTGCATCTCAACAGAAACAGTCTAACTACGGACAGAAGTAGAGAAAACTCAGAAATAGCATCTGTGCAGTATGACACAGTTATAATGCTGTAGATCATAGAAAACAAAAGCACTGAAGTTGAACTTCTTTGCTTTTTTATTTTACAAAAACAGAAGAAGTTTAGAATGAAGTTGTGCAATATTTTTTTAAATAGATGTTACTCATACTGGAAAAATAAAGGCTGACTGTATATTTTACCATTTATATGAATATGTTTTCATACGTCTTCTACCTGTTCTGTGTGAACACAGGCTGCAGTTCATCTGAACTATCCATGAATTTTTGCCACTGGGTCACTAATGGCTTACTTGTTGTGCTAAAGAGTGCAGAATCTGTTTCGCAAAAATGTATATTTTTGGCAAAAGTGATGTAGATGAAATATCAAGATTTTAAGGCTAGATTTGGGTTCTTTTTTTCTGACAGAACTGTGGGGCACACAGTTAGTTCAAGGAGGATCACTAAGCTGAAAATCAGGTGATTATTTCTATATTTACCATTACTGACTGTGATAAATGGTGTAATTTGGGTGATTTTTATTTAAAGATAGCATGTCTTTCAACCCCTTCAGCATGTTTTACGGTTCAGAGAAGGTTTAATAAAAGACTATTAAGGATCTGGTGTTTTAAGAGTTTGGTGCAGACTACAGAGTAAAAGTGTGGCTTTCTCTGCTTCTTCAGTTTTGACCATTTGACCACATTCTGGATGTGTAATATAAAAACTCCTGGTGCAGCCCTTTTATGCTTTTAAGTATCCCAGTCAGACTGCTCTGTACATACCTGATCTATCTCATGTTCTTTCAGGATGACAGTCTCTGGAGAGACACGAGGAATCCTGGGAATGGCTGGCGAGTAATTCCTGTTGTATGAAAAGAGAAAAAAACAAGTCAGATTGAAGACATCTCCTTCCATGTGAGCTCCTCCCCAGTGTTCAGCCTGGTGTTTAGTGTGTGTCTGTGTTGCATCCTCTTCTATCCATCCACCTATTAGCTCATGGCTACTAGCTTGGCTCTCTCCCCTGCTTCCCCGCCCAGCCCCCCTTACGCTGTGCCCAGCCCTCTCTCGTACTCCAGTGATTTCTTGGGGGAGAGGAAATCGTCATCATGGTCTTTCATGTCATCCATCTTCATGTACCTGGCCCCTTCTGTCCCCAAGAGCTCCTCTCCTTCAGAGAACAACATGCCAAAGAGAGCGAACAGACCGTGGTCAGGTTGGTGAAACAGCACAAGAGAAAGAGAGAAACAAAAGAAAAAGATTGTTAACTAGTGGTTAGAAGGGTTAGACAACATGACAACCCAGGACTTAGATGATGGTTCTGTTATGTCGGGGTTAGACTGGTGAAATGAAACATCAGTGACAGTCTTCTTTACACTGACCTTGTTACTGCCAGTGGCAAAATAATAAAGCAAACAGAGTACGTTCATAGGAACAATAGCCAGGTGCTGAGTCCAGCACTTTTGATTCAGAATCCCTGATCATTACTACATCGAAGTAGAAGAGGAAACATAATAATAAATGCAGACTTGAGACTGGACTAGACGAAAACACGACAGATATGCACAGTGCACTATCCCTGATGACAGCATGCATCAGCATAATCTCATTCTGAAAATGTGTTGTCTGGAGAATAAACAGTTCCTGGTAGAGGAGCTTTAGAGATCAGCTGCTTCACAGAGTGATGTATGAGGAGATTTGCTCTAAAACACACGACTACAAGCACAGAGGCAGTCAGAACAGCATCATTCCTCTACAACACAGGAGAACGCCGGCACAAGCTGTTCTCTGCTCTCCTTCGAACAAACAGCATGTCTGGATGTGAGTCGAGGTGGGCTTTGGTTACTTACCCCCCGAAAAAGGCGATAACGTTTAAGAAATTCACCAGCAGCGACAGGGAGTCTTCCCTGTGTGTGAATTTGTATGAGCACAGCTTGTGAGAGTGGGAGTCTGTACGAGGTCTGGAGCCGGAGTGATGTCGTAGGTGTCATTATACTATGTTAGACTCTGTGAGAGATCTTCCCACAGGTTCATATGAGTCAACTCATGTCCTGTATATTCTCTGTCTTGTGTGCCACGTGTATGTGTGCGTTGTGTAGGCAAAGTGTTACCATATCACATAATCTGCCAGTATCACTTTACCATTCCGGATATGTGATGTGTCTTTAAGATGGCGACTCAGCTACTTTCTATATTTAGAGCAACACTGACAATCTGTTGGTTGAATTATCAAGGGGACTAAATATATCAAGACATAATATCCGCTGACATTATTATCAGCAGTGTGGCAAACTTCAGGAATAAAAAGTTTAACCTACCATATGGGATTTGTGTGGCCACTTGGGGGCAGCAGAAGTGAGCTGTGATCTATGAACTGACATATCACTCAAAAATCTCAGGAACAGCTGCTTATTAACTCCAGACACAGAGAAACCACAGCATTTATTACCAGCAACGAAAACGTAGCAAGTATTGTGTTCATCTTGAGTCCGTTTGTGTGAGTGCGACCACGGAGGAGACAACTACAGAAACTCCCACAACTGAGTAGTTTGGCAGGTGTTTATATGGGTTACTGTGGCGTAACAGCATCACAACTGGACTAGACACGCTCGCGAAACTTTACAGGGCTGTAGTTCAGATCAAAATTAAAGCTGAGCTCAAAGACGGGTGTGGTCCGACCCATGAGTCCCGAGTACTCATGTATTGATGTAGTAGTAACTAGTGAGTACTCAGAGATCGGCATGTTGAGGCTAGTGTGGTCCCATCACAAGGTGGTCTCTACTTTGGTGTTGTGTTTCTGTCCAGCTGATGAATCAACTTTTACTGTCCTTTTACGCTCTTTATCAAATTCTGAAGGAAACATCTGGCTTAATGCTACACAGTGGGTATCATTATTCCTTTAACTGAAAACAGCTGCATATCACAGTGGAAATTCTACCTAATATAACCAGAAAGTGGGCTGCAAAATCTAAACAGTTCCCTGAAAGTTGCTGTAATCCTGAGAATAGCTGCTGAGTCAGGTGATAATTATCTGACTGACTCCTTTTCGTTTCCTGTCATGTGACGTATCGTTAAGGCAAACATGTTTAGGCATTTTTAAGCCATCATTTCCTCTAATTACCGACCAAATTTCCAGCCAATGAACACAAATCACATGACGGGAACACAAGACAGTTATAAACGACGTGGCACATGATCGACACCACAATGGAGGCAAATTTGAATGTAAACATCCACATTTCAGACAACGCTATGAACTTTAAAACCTCACAGAGGAGGGGGTTTAAAAATTTGGTATGATATTAGTAGTCATGGATGCGATACTTATAGGTTTGATCTATGTGTTTGCTGTCACTGTTACTATATAAAACGAGGATTTATGTCTGAACATGGAGAGAAAAAGACACCTGGAGAGTTAGAGAGTGACGATGTTATTGAAGGGACATATAGAGGTTACAGGTATGGGTGTTATGTTTGCATGCCAATGAGAAACCAGAGCCACCATCACAGTGAGTACCACTACAGAGGAAACGAGAGAGAGAGAGAGAGAGAGAGGCAGGGGAACAAAAATGGAGTGAGCTTGAAATGGAGCACCAGACTTTTTGACAACGACCTATGAATGCCGCACAAAGAAAGAAATAGACATTCATACCTAATGTTAGCTGTGCAATTCCTAAAAAAAGGGCAAAAGGCAAAAAAAATGAGTTGAAAAAAATGAATATTTGCGTGACCAATTCAAACATCAATAGTTTCCTACAGTTTTTTAGTCATCGCTAATAGTTTCAGTGCCGTACCTTCATCCTCAGACACGTCTAGTATCTCATCCACTGTTTCTGGGAAACTCATGCGATGTTTCTCTGTGGTCGTCTGCAAGAACAAGAGAGAAGTCTGAAACTTTTCTAACAGTATTTCCATGTGTTCATCACGGCCACATAAAGCCCGTGCTGCATCCATAGTAGCAGGTTTTAAACTTCTCACCATGGAAACCGTCTCCTCGGTGACAAGCTTTAGGACGTCAATCACAGAGATGTAGCCCAACCTCTTAGCAATGGCCAGGGCCGAAGTGCCATGCTGACAGGAAGAGAGCGGTACAGTGATCAGATCTCCGAAAACCAAACTTTATGGCAGCGGATGAGGAGGGGGGACCTATGTTAATACTCACTGTGGTGGTCTCGTTGGGCTGAGCGCCATGCTTCAGCAACAGCGTCACGATGTCTGTGTGTCCCTGTTGGGCTGCCTGGTGCAGAGGAGTGTAACCAAGCTGCAAGAGAGGTGAAAGGCGAGATAAAACAAGCTATATGAAAGTGACATTTTTACAGATCAAACATCTAATCGACTGGCAGAAGAAGATGATAGAGTTACTTGTAGTGCTACATCTAATCTTATCAATTAGCTAGTTTTTCTGCTCCAGCTCGTGGACAGATGTGACTCGACGGTTTAAGGTTAAAGCCCCAACAATGCCAAGCTGCCACTGTTGGGCCCTTGAGCAAAGCCCAATCTGTTACATTACCACCTCATCATGACTGACCCTGCACTCTGATCCCAACTGTAATATGGCAAAAGAGAATTTCAAAGTGTGTTAATGTATTTGTGAGAAATAAAGGCGTTTCCTTCTTCTAGACAAAACACTTCTCGTCCCAACACTTTGTATGTATGATGAGTTTCTGCCATCATTTCAAGTTGCAGTTTCCATATACGTCTTCTTGTGTTCCCTCAGTTCAGACACTGAGTAATGGCTAGAAATGTATTTTTTTTGCAGAACATTATGATGTTACAGTGAAGTCGACCTTTTGGATGTAAAATGTCATGACTTCATTATTTTATCCTATGAGCCATTTGTGTCGAACTTAGTCAAAATTAGCACACGGATTCTAGACAAAAACGTGTTTTATGAGGTCAGAGTGTCCGTTGACCATCAATATCTGATCTGCTCATCACTGAGTCCAAGTGAGAATTTCTTCAAATCCCCTTTAGGCGAGCAAGAGATACTAAATTCATGGGAAAAGGACGGATGGACGGAGCGATGTACAAAACAAAAAGATAATGCTTCCAGCCTCAGCTGTCACTGGCTTGGTGAAATAAACAAGCAACAGTTTTAAAGAGTTACTGTAAATTTTTCCAGCAAACCATGTTTTAGAACAAATTTCAATCCCCCATCCCCGATATGAGCATAAAAGTGCATCCTCTAGGTCCGGTCTTTGCTTTACATGCTAATAGATTACACTAGAGACATTAAAAAAGCCCATTAAACCCCCCTGCTATCATCACAACCTGTGCTTTTAACTGTCTAATGGACTCTCGCTGTATTTACTAATACAGCGTACTGTAACCGTGACTCATGCTCAGGATGATTTTGTTGCAGTTTTATAACAAAACCAGGGGGAGGCACTCACCCTTGTTTTGCTGTTGACATTGGCCTGTTGCTGCAGGAGGAACTTCACCATTTTGATGTTGCCATAGTGACAAGCTACATGGAGAGGGGTGTAACCCATCTGATGGAGGAGAGAAACAGTAAAAACTCTTAAGCACAGTCCTGATCAGACACAGAACTTCAGCGTCTTAACGACCTTCTGCTGTAATTTGGTTACATTATGTAGATTTGATCCTATACGGAGTTCATGAATATTTCATTAAATAATGGTTCAAACTCAAACAAGGTTAAGTTGTTTCAAGAACTGATTATTGACATAGAGATGCTTTCGAACAGCATTATAGGAATTAACAAAGGAGGATGTAATTACTATTCCCGTCATATAACCATCAGCAATGAGCTCATGAGGCCATTTATGCTACGTCTCAAAGTGCACATCACAAGTAGTTTCTAAACTGACAAGGCTTTAACAACCCTGAAAGAGTTCAAGGTGAAGCTGTCTTAACCTGAATATTCTGTCTTCTGATTGCTGGACCATGAAGTGAAGAAGGTCTTACCCGTGTGGCTGCATAGACTGAAGCCCCCTGCTTCACCAAGATATCAGCGATGCCAACATGTCCCTCCTGTGCCACCAGGTGGAGGGGGGTTAATCCACTCTATGAGGCAAATACATCAAACACAAAACAAATCAAGTCACAGTTTAATCCTGTTTTAGAACAAATAAACACTCGGGCCACATTTCTGTCATTCTTTAATCAACTAATCTTGCCTTGTTGCCAAGGTTGACGTTGGCCTGTTTGGAGATGAGCAGGGACACCATGTCGGGCCTTCCTTCCTGCGAGGCCAGGTGGAGAGGTGTGACTCCCTGCAGTGACTCAGCATTGGCCGAAGCTCCGTACTGCAGCAGGCTGTTAGCCACCTCCACCTGGTTCTGCTTGGATGCTATGTGGAGGGCAGTGTATCCGTTCTGGAGAAGAGACATGAGTTGCGGTTAGAAAAATATGTCCACGATCGTAAGTCACTCTGCTTGAATTATGTGCAGGCTCGAGTGTATCTCTTTTTTATTTACCCTGGCTGCACTATGCGGTGACCCTCCTTTGCTGACAAGTAAGTTAACTACATCCAGGTTGTTGTGATGTACAGCGACGTGCAGCGGAGTCAGACCATTCTGTAAAAAGAGGACCAAAAGTTCATTAGACTGTAGTAAATCAAACCATGCTTTATTCATCTTTTGACAGTTCCTTCTGTACAGCCAAGTCCTATTTTTCTCACCTTCCCAGCTGCGTTGGGGTTGGCTCCTCTCTCCAGCAACAGCTCGGCTACATCCACCTTGCCGTACTTGGAGGCCACATGGAGCGGAGTGAAGCCTTTCTGCAGAGGCACCAACAGGGAAGTGGACACAGTGTTAAGATTACGTAGGAACTGTGTAGGCCTCAAAACAGCCAAATGCGACAGAAAAAAGTGTGCTTCACCTTGGTCATCTTGGTCTGCTGAGCCTCCATGTCCAGGAGGATGCGTACGGTTTGCACATGGCCTTCCCGGGCAGCGATATGTAGAGGTGTGTGTCCTGCTGTGGTGGTGGAGTTGGGGTTGGCTTTGTGCTCCAGCAGAAGCTTCACTATCTCCTTGTGGCCCATCCGAGAAGCACAGTGCAGAGGTGTTTGGTCATCCTGGACGGGGAGAGGAGACTTATTATGACATCTAACACACTTTATGAAACACCTGAACTCAAAGGTTTTCACCGGCAACCTCATTATCCTGTTTTAATTTCCCCTATGATCTCTATTACCAGTTAAAATGAGGCTGTGGTGAGTAGGAGGGAAATTAGAGGATCTGCTTCGTCTGCCAGGAATCAGCTTGCTAAACAGGCTTTTTTAAATCAGCGCTTCCAGGTAGCATACCGGGGCTTTCGGAATATTTACTGTATCCTTTTGCATGAGTTCATGTATATGCAGATTGTGCTTTGGTGTGTGAAATCTCCACCTTGGCCTTGGCGTCCACCGGTGCTGCATTCTGCAATAAAAACTCTGCCACTTCATAGTGTCCCGCCCGAGATGCCATATGGAGAGGAGTCTCCACTTTCTGTTTACACACAAACAGAAAAAAAAAAGCAAAGTCAGACTCAACAACAATAATGTAGGACAGTGGGAGTGGGTTAGATGGTTTTGAAATTTCTACTCACTACATTGGAGGCGCTGGGGGAAGCTCCTTTCTGCAGCAGGATCTTAACGATGTTGAGATGACCCATAAACGATGCCACGTGGAGGGGGGTCAGGCCAGACTGTTGGAAAAGAAGCGCAGAAGGAACTTTCAGATTTATTGAAGCACCTGGTAGATTTTTTTTTTACTTTTAGTGCTTTTTCGATCAGTGATTCTTGTATATTTTTTGCCGATCCTTTACCTCAGTCACAGCCTCTAATGACGCCGATTGCTTGAGCAGAAGGTCCATCACACGCATGTGGTTCTTTTTACAAGCAATATGCAGAGGTGTAAAGCCATTCTGGAAAAAAAAAAAAAATATTTTCTCACTACGAAGGTAAAAAATCAACTTGTTGGATCATGACAGTGTATGCTTGTCACTAACCAGAGCCCTGGAGTTGGGTTTGGCCCCTTTGTCCAGCAGTACTTTGGCCATGCGGTGATGGCCACAGTGTGCTGCCACATGCAGAGGGGTAAGATGGTCCAGTGTGATGTCGTCAATTTCCGCATTGTACTGCAGAAGTTGCTTGACGCAGTCCATGTGGTCCCCCTGCGCTGCCATGTGGATTGGAGACAGGCCATTCTACAAAAAAAAACCCCACAAAAAACCTGTGTTGACATTTTCATCGCTTGCAAAACAGGAGGGAAGCAACTTGTCTTGCAGTGAAAACAATCAGAGCAAAAGGCAGCAGCAAGAGGAATCACTGGTTGTGTTTGACTGCGATGAATCACCAACCTCCGCTTTCATTTACTTAATTAAAACCAGAGAAAAAGCACAAAGAAGCTCACGGATTTGCACTCATAACCAAAGCAGATGGTGTTCTGTTGATTTTTTTAGGAGGAATTCCCTTCAGCTGTCATATGTGGTTTACCTTCGTCTTTGCCTGGATGGGGGCTCCGTGGTCTAGCAGGATCTCTATAATCCTGACATGACCATTTCTGGCTGCGCAGTGCAGAGGAGTAAGTTCATCCTGGGGAGAGACAATTGTTAGTGATTTAGTTAATGGTGCATCAAACTAGAAACGAAGACACTCGGTGAATGAAAGAGCTTTGGAAACGATGGGATAGACGTCTGCTGCACCTTGGTCTTGGCATCGATCTGCGCCCCTCTGTCCAGCAGGAGTCGGACCATGATCACATTCCCCCGTCTGGATGCAATGTGCAGAGGAGTGATGCCGTTCTGTAGAGAGGCACAGTTGAGCTTAGACAAACACAGAGAGAAGAGAAAGCAAGGACAAATGATCGACCTTCTGTTATCATTAGCTGTTCCCTACCTTTGGGGTAAAGTTGACATTGGCTCCCCTGTTGAGCAGCAGTTGAGCTACGTTCAAGTTTTCATAGTGTGCAGCAATGTGGAGGGGTGTGAATCCAGTCTGCAGGGACACATCAGGGAGAAAAAATGGCACGCTCATTAGCTTTGCATTTTAGAAACACAAAGTCAAACCATACAAAGACAACAAACGCAGGTGCCCATTCCGTCAGTGAATGCACTGTACGACAATAACTGCAGACATTCACACACACAATACTCCACACACCTTGCTGAGTACATCAGGATTGGGGTCGTTCTGCAAAAGCACTGCGGCTGTGCGAGTATCGTCGTTGCGTGCTGCAATGTGCAGCGCAGGGAGGCGGACCTTTCCCTTGGTGCCGTAGTTGATGAGCAGGGCTACGACATTTTCATGTCCCTGCTGAAGAGCCACGGCGAGAGGAGTAAATCCATCCTGCAGCACACCGGAGAGAGTTAGAGAAGAAAGGTTGACTCGTGGAGAGAAAGTGGGAGTCATGTAAGGAGAGAGGCTTATGAGAACAAAACGGAATGGAAACACAGCGAGCGTGGCTCAGCAAGGATGGGATTGAGGAGTTTGGGGGATTACTCTTTAAAAACTTCTCTCGGTTCTTTGGGTACCTCTGTTGGAATGCTCTGATTGGCTCCGTTCTCCAGAAGAAACTTCACAACCTCTAGATGGTTTTCTTGTGCAGCCATGTAGAGTGGAGTGAAACCTTTCTGTCTCAGAAAGACACACGACAGACAGGCGCACACACACACAGCAGCAGCAGCAGAGGAGACACAAGCACAGCAAGAAGGAGACGGTCACAGATGCACACACACAGGGATGTACACAGAGAGGAAACAGCAACACACAGAAATATTGGAACAGAGACACGTGTTAACAGATGGAATTGCAATAGTTACTACAGTGGTTTCGAAGTAAAGTTCCTATGGTAAGTAGTGACGAGCAGCCTCAGTGTGTCCTGCAACCACCGCTGTGAGAGCCGCTCCAAGTCTCACCTGGGACTGAGCGTTGACGTTGGCCCCGTAGTTAACCAGCTCTGTGACCACCTGCTCCTGCCCTGCCAGGGCTGCAATGTGTAGGGCCGTGTTCCCTTTCTGTTTCAACATGGAAGAGTATGTGGTTATAATAAGCACAAAGTATTACAGATGAAACCCCACGTTGCATGTGGGTTTTTGGACAAAAACATTGCTTCATAATTTTTTTTCAACACTGGTAGCAAAACTAAAACATAGATTTAAACCAGAAAGTATCTCAGCATAAGTAAAGAAGACACGCATTTAAATAAATATTCCAAATTTCAGTATCACATTCATTTCATTTTGATACGACATTTTGGTTGGTAATGGGATTTCACACCCAGTCCAGTACAAACATTAGGTTTGAAAATGGTAAAGGAATAGTTCAACATTTTCAGGAACTACATGAATTATCATGAGTGACAGATTTACCTGACTCCTATATCTGTATAATAAATATGACACCAGTAGCCAGTGTGTTTAGTTAAGTAAGAAACGGGGATAAACAGCCAGTTGAGTTAACAAAATCCACTCACGCTTTCATTTTGTGAAAGCCCAATAACAACAGTAAGTCAATGAAGTGAGAGCCTATCCTTCTGCTCAAAACAATATATTGATGCGTAGTTATCAAAATGTCAAACTATTCCTTTACGTGTGAAATCAAGCAAGTTTGTGATTTTTTTTGGACATGAGTTCAGACTGTAGGACTTTTTCTCCAGGATATTCTACCTTCGTGGTGGTCTCCAGTACGATCCCATTGTGGAGGAGCTCCAGCACCATTTTGACGTGGCCTTCTTTCGAGGCGAGATGCAACCCATTGAGCCCATTCTGAGTGAGAGAGAAGAGCAGACCTCATACTGAAGGGTCCTACGCGCACTGTGAGCAATGTTCCCTGATTTAAGACAAATAACCACACACACAGTATATACAAACAAACACACGAAGGCCATGCCAACTGAAACAACTGGTTTGTTATCACAGTGACTGAAGCACTCACAAACCACTGCAGGCAAATACTTACACTGGACACCATGCATGCGGTACTCTCAGAATCAGACTGGTCATTAGCAAAAAACAACGTCTACAGGGATGAAAATCAGGATGAGAAATTTTCATTCGATTAATGATGATGATGAGAGGAGGAGGAGGAGGAGGAGGAAGAGGAGGACGGGAGGGAGATGGCAGGCCGCTGGTCTCGTGGCTGGGAAGAATACGAGCCGTGTGGGATAGGTCTGACCTCACACAGCCTTCCTTCAGCCGCACAGGACATGTGAGGTTGGACCTTTCCCACACCACTGATATTATTCCTCTGAGTGGGGAGACCACAGCACACCATCACTCTACTGCAGACATAGGAGAGAGGGAGGGAGGGAGGGAGGGAGGGCGGAAGGGGAGGGAAGGGAGGCGATGGAGGAGGAAGAAGCAAGAAAAAAAAAAAAAAAAGGAAGGTAAGTTAGAAAAACAGTCCACAAACGGAAGGAGAGAAGGCGGTGGAGCAGTTGTTAGACTGAGAGGGATAGAAGAGGAAAGAAAACACAGTACGGGAGGGCAGGAGTGAGGCAGCGTGCTGGTGAGCGAGCCATGGCAGAGGTATCCACTCAGACAAGGAAACAGAGACACAACTGCCACAGTCACGCCTCCACCGGGCCGAACTCCCACCATACCGACACAACAGTCACACAACCTGAACAACAAGAACTCTGAGTTTAAGTGACGATCTACAACTTTAAAAAACAAATAAATTGCATCACTCTGCATCAAGTTAGGATTGTGTTAGATGAGTAAATAGTGCCAGTGTGCTAGTCGTAGGAATGTGAATAAATATAATTATAATAATAATAAAAATGCTGCAGCTTACATGTATGTTTTAATTGCACCTTTGCAATATTAAAGCCACTATGTGCAGAATTTGAAAACTCTTAACTTTGCTACCATCAGGTGGTGGTATAACAAAGACAGTGTAGTATGACTGAACATAACACATTTTACTATAAACCAAAAGAAGTCATATCGACATTATATAGAAATTTCTCACATTGGGGCCTAACTGCAAAGCAGTGTATGTGTTAAGCTGTAGATAATCACTTTAACTCAAATGCAATTAACACCAAAGAATAAAAATAACACAATTCCATAATGAATATCAACAACACAATTAAATTAAAATGTTTCATTCAGAAAAAAAAAAATATTGCAAGTCAAAAACTTTCCTGTATCAGACTCTCTCTGCCTGTAATTATATTTTTAATCCATGGGGTGTCTCCCTCCATCATTGTGAGGGACTTTGCCAATAATAGCCACTATACAGTGTCACTGTACACAAATAAATCTGTCGTTATGTGGGGTCTGCTATGGGGCCTGTGAATAGGCTTCATAGAAATCCTGACAGAAGCATTACCAGCAGTAATTACAAAATGTTGAGGACAGCATAAAGTGAATGGAAGAGAAACCATGACTAAGTTAGATTAATGAGGCAGAGGAATCTCTCGCGCACACATACAGGTTTTTTGGCCAAGTTTCAGTAGCCTGAGGGGCAGCAGTCGTAGCCCACTAACACTGCCTCTTCCTGGACACTCGAGGAACAACTGTCAGGGTAAAGGAGGCAGGATGGAGGAGACGGGGCGAAGGAAAGCCTCTGTCCCATTTATTACCGTCTCTGGAGACCCTGTAAGCTCTACCTGTCACCTTTAGCCACTGATTAACGGAGCATGCACGTACAGTGCAGGGCATGACTGAGTACACTGGCAGACAAATAGGCACGTAAAAGCACAGTGGTCTTACTCAGATACGTCATGCACACAGGACACTCAAAACACATACAGAAATAAAAGTACAACGAATGATCGTACACATGGACAAATGTTGAGCAGAAGATAATGCAAAATGATGAGTTTGACACCACGTATCTGTTATACAGCTCTTATTTTTACTTGAAAACTGTACGATAAACATAAATGCTGAAAAGTGACGAATCATTTCACTGTGTGTAAATAGCATTGGCTAAACTGTGCTGCTTTGTCAGTTCACACATTTCTGTTCTCTTATAAATGAAAAGTAAGAAGTCCACCCACCTTCTGAAATTTAATTTAATCAGTTAGAAAGCAGATAGGGAGGCTTGGACTGTGGGTACACGGACACTCATAAATACTCAAATAGTTCTGTTCTCGCTACGCACTATAACGCAGTACATCTGAGGATCCATTTTGCAGATAAGCAAAATTACCTTATGTGAATAAAAACGCCAAGAATAGCACGTACAGTATAAATAAAAATCCCTGGCTGACAGATGAGCTTGCCAGTCAGGCAATTCAATCTGGGGAATGTGCTCTCTCTCACCTGATTGGCTGTATTTATATCAATGCCATTTTTGATATGTTCCAAGGCCTTGTCCAGGTTGCCAGAACGGGCTGCTCGAAGAAAACTGTTGCCAGCATCTGCCTGCAAAGTGAACCAGAAATGGGGGAAAAAGAGGAGGGATACGGGGTATAAGAGAAAGTGAGAGGCACATAAAGTAGAGGAATAGAGAGGGAGAATGGAGAGGGAGACAGAGTTTGGTTATTATTATTGGAAAAAAAAAGACATTTGAAGGGCTGAGAACGGTAGCATGATGGCAGTTGTCCATCAGTTTTCCTCTCATTTCACTCCTCCCTTGTGATTTTGGACAGTGCAGTTTCAAAATCAGCTTCCGCACCTTGAAATTTGCGGGTGCGCTACCCTCCGAGTGTAAACCGATGTCAGAGCTCCACAAAACCTGCCCATAAACCTACCTGCTAGTCAGATAAGTTTCACAATACCAGCAGGCTGTGATGTACATATCGTGGCCAGCACATGTTTGGCTCTTTGTCTGGACTTTTTGTGCATATAAATGAAAGAGTCAGAGAGAGACGAAGGTAAATGGAGAAAGGACAGAGAGAGACGGAGAGTGATTCTTTGGTGAATCCTGGCTCACGGGCCAGCACATGGCACGTCTAGTGTTCTTGTCTGTGTTTTGTTTGCGTCTGTGGGCTTCATGCCTCTCCCAGGCCGCCATGGGTGCTGCTGAAACAGGATCACTCATGCGGCACAGGGGCAGAGCGAGGAGGAGAAGAAGCGGGAGCAGAAGCGACGGAGGGAGAGCCACAGGGAGAAGCTCGACTGCGGCAAACCCTGCACCTTTTCAATCCATTTACATAATCTCCTCTCTCGTCGAGCCCATCCCCACCCTACATCATCCCCCTTTTTTCATCTAACCAGACATCTCACAACACGCCGGTCAGGAAAACAAACAGGCCTGCAATCGCTTATTGTATCACACAAATGCAGATAGCAAATGCAAACCTACAGTTTTCTGTTCCAAACGAAAAACACCAGAAGCTGCTTGCCTCAACTTCATAACACAGTGCTTTGAGTTGTGTTGACTATTGTGGTGAAAGGGTTGTTGGTCCTCTTCTGACAGAGAGCGAGAGGGCCTGTGTAAAAGGAGAAAGGATCCACATGCCTGAAGTAGAGGCATAGCAACAAATGACACAACACACCCTCAGCATGACACCAGTGGCACAGCGCTGTGCAAAGACAGAGGTCACTTCAAAAAAAAAAAAAGAAGAACAGCAATGGCAGGGAAACAGAAAACTTTAAAAGGAAAAGCTGCTTCCAGCTGACTGCAGCAGCAAAACAACATCTGACAGTCCGTGTTCCTTCTATCTGATACAGAGACGAAGTTTATTCAGTGGCAAAGTTTCCTCTTAACAGATAAACCTCATACAGTGTAAAGTGACAAATCCTGGGCTTTTGAGGACACTTACGCAGGCGGAACCACTTGCTTCTTTGTCATTTTGTTTTTAGCTTTTGGTCATAAACAACTGAGAGGCAAACTACTCAGCAGCACAAAGCCTCTGAGTCACTCACACACACATGCTGACAGGCTAAAGACTGATGAGACATTCCCACACACAGAATGTCAAAAACAAAAATGAATTGCAAAAATAATGATAAGTGCACTTTGTGATATTTAGATCATGTTGTGGTAGAAAGAAAGAAACATCCCAAAAGCTCAAAAAATAGAAATCAGACGTTTCTCGGCTACTGGTTCTTGATTAGTTTGTCTAGTTGTTGGGTTTCGGTGTTCATAATTTCAAGGCTTTCTTGCTTCTTCACTTTAAAGAAGATGACAAACCTCCTCCCTCTACACAACAGCAACAAACTGACCCCGGTGCACACACACAAAAGCACCTGTTACAAGAGTTATGATCATCTCACAGCACCTTTAACCTCACATTTGGTTTTTCTTTGCAGAAATAGAGAGATACAATATCCCATTTTAATGCCACATATATATATGAGTGAGGTTTTACACTAAAATCTTGTTTTAATAATCGCTCCAGCTTGATTGTTAAACCTGCATGTGTTATGTATGAAATAACGAAATATAAATATCACAAGCACACAAGCGCAGACTGTGTCGGACCACCATGGTGACACTCAAAAAAATCCTCTCACCAAAGTTGGGGCAAATACAGCTGATGCAAAGACACACAACCTCCCACAGTATGCATGGTCTCACAGCGAATGGTAGCATGGCAACACCACAGTGACCCAGGCTGAGGCCTCTCTACAGTCGTCCAACCCCCCTACACTCAAAGCTCCGCTGCCTCCCCCCCTGAAACAGCCTGCTGAAGTTTACAAGACAACGGAAACCCATTCTCAAAAACCTCTCAGCTGGTTACAGCAAACTCCTCTTTGGTCAGTGAGTGTTTTCATGTGTGCGTGTTTCTGTGATTATCTGGTTGCGTCAAGAAGTGAGCAAGTGTTGCCGTGAGATAAGGATGCAGGGCGACCACACCCTGCCTCACACGTAAACACATACATACAGCGGTGAGAAAGTGTTATGTGGTAAATTCCCCTGCGACATTCTGCTTGAACTCTGGTATGATTTAGATGAATGAGTCCGTCTCCGATTATTCCCAAAGAGAGCGGACGAGCTCGGGGCTCCTGGGCTGAGCAGAAACGAACAAGCACATTAATCATACTGTTGGGAGCACAAGAAACACACAATAACCTGCTCAGAAGCTCCGCGGCCAACATCAGCAGGATCAACACACGCCGTTGTGCAACGTACATGCAACTGTCCTCAGGCTAAGACAGTGCAAAGCTCCTCGTAATGAAACTCATAATTACCGAGTAAAATTACCACCCTATCTCATCACAGAAAATCCTCTTCCCTGAACTCCCCTCTGCTTATCGTTCTCTCATTTTCTTTCCTGTTGCTTTCTTTCCCTCCTCTACCGCCTGCATCTTACATGTCTCTCTCTCTCTCTCTCTCTCTCTCTCTCTCTCCCCCCTTCGCTTGCCTCCTCTGCCGGTGCTGCAGCAGACAGGATGACATCACCCGCTCGCCGGTGGACTGCAGTGTTCAAAAACTCAGTGTGCACGTATGCATGAGGAGGCAACGTCCCGGCCGTGAAGAACAGACGACTGGACCTGAAGAATCGTTTTCACAATGATGATGTGATTTCATTTCAGTGTGTTTGTTTTTTTGGCGATAATTCTGAATGGAATCGGACTGAATGTGTGTATATGTGTGCGTGTGAAGGGGAGAAACAAGACAATGTGAGGATTGAATGGGAATGCTGAGATTCTGGAGGGTAGAAAGCAGACTCCTACTGCCTTCATGCTGCAATCTGATAATAAAGATCAGGATTTGACAAAATGGCTTCTGTACGTAAAAGGAATCTTTCTGTAAACTGTTCTCTCTGTCTTTTTGCAATATATGAACGCTGCTGCAGAATGACATGCATGCTGGATTGTAAACCCAGTCACCCTTTTCATGTCTGAAAATTACTACCATAGTCTATATACTATTACTCAAGTCATTACAGCTTGACAACAAAGCATGTTTCTATCATCACATGAGCTAAAACTGAACAAATTTCAGGTTGCATTTCTTTTGATTTTCACTAAGGATGCTTCCAAAGACGATGACCCACAGTTTCTGGATCATTTATTTTATTCTGCTTTACACTTATCTTGAAATCATTATTACATTCATATGAAGCAAGCAGGTCCACTTGCATCCATAGTTTAAACTCAACGTCTATTTGTCACCCCTTGAAATTAGTCGATTACTTAATCTATGTGTCATCATAGGTTAAGCCTTTTTTTAAGCCAAGCCTGTACAGAAAGAGGAATTCTGGGAGAATTTAGTTTGACAGAAATATGCAGCATGTGTTTTTTTTTTCTTTTTGATACCTAAATGATCTTTTGACCCCTGAGATGTATCTAGGACGCCACTGATTTAACACACCATGTTCTTTAGTCCAGACAGGTTCGCCTAAACTTATGGTCTCATTACAGGACACAGAAAAAACAAAATCCCAAAATATTTTGTCAATGCAATCAAATCCTGGAGCTCTCTCACTGCATGTCAGTGGAAGAATCTCTCTGTCAAAGATCAGATCTGCTTCGGAAAACCTCAGCATTTCTGTTCAAATTAACATAAAACTCACAGCAGACACATAGTCCTTCTCTCTCTCACACACCCTCGCAGCCATACGCAGGCGTTCAACACAACTACATGAATCTGCAGACACAGCACCAGGTGCAAATCATAAATATTTTAAGTGCCACCACAGCCATTTGCACACCCAGCAGAAAGGTGAAAATAAGGTTCCTGTGTATGTTCAACATGTCACAAGTACTGCTTCACTTGCAACAATTTCCTGAACTTTAAACAACATAAATTGCGCAAGCGCACCAAGCGCTGGACAAAGTCTGGTATTTTTACCTCACCAAACTCAATATCTGGACGCTTTTAAACTTACAGTCTGATTGCACAGATTCTGTGCATTTCAGTTGGAGCACTGAACGGCGGATATGGAAATTCCTGCAAAGTGCTTAAACAGCTATTTCATCCTGCTTTTCTGCTGACTTGCATTTGTTCTAGAAATTGATTTTCTTTTCTCTGTCCCTTTTTTCTCTGCCCTCCATCTCTGCCTTCATGTCTCGGGCTGCTTGAAGAGGTTGCAGCAGGCGGTTTCCGGCTACAGACATGTAGTAAGTGTAGAGTCTGTCAGGCTGAGACCCGGGGGACTGCTCAGCTATGGGAGCGTTTACAGGAAGAGAGCGAGCAGGGCACCAGGATGAAGCTGTAACATTCCCCCACTCAACAGCGTCTGTCTGCATGTAAATCTGCCCGTCTGTCCAGCCGTTTGTCTGTCTGCTTCTATTGCCTGTATGTAGCGAAGCGTATTGTCCCATTTTTACTATTTACTTTCTCACACTCCCAGCCTCCCCCACTCTGCAGCCCACTGTTTGTCCCTCATTGATTGTCTCTTATTCGGCCCTGCTGAAGCCTCTGCGCTTGTAGATGAGATTGTCATGGTTATTATTGTCATGGTTATTGTGATCTTTTGTGGAGGTGACAAAGAGGGTGAAAGCCATAAGGGTGAAGATAGGGCTTGGAACCTATAGAAGGTCGGCTCAAGATAAGATGGTAAACATCCTGCGCTTTACTGCACCATCATTATACAGAATACAACCATCTGGAGGACAGACAGAAGATATAAGAACATACGTAATTTCATTCCAGGTGGTGATCTGAAATCTATAAAGTCTAAAACTACAAAACCAGACAGTTGAACTTTATATAACTGATGGCATCACCTGTGCTGCAAATTTTGTTTCAGTGTCACACCTGCTAAAACAGCAACAAAAACCTGGTGAGCTCAGTGTTGTGGGCACGTTTTTTAAAAATAGTTTTGGAAAGTACATTTATTCTGACACTTAAAACATCTTCTCAACTTAATTTTAGATTGAAATATTGCACTTTTTACTTCACTACATTTATTTGACTGCTTCAGTGACAAGTTCCTTTTTTAGATTTTACCTACAAAACATGTATTATATTGAAAATGTATGTTTAAACGACCCAACAACATTACAATGCTGCTTACATGTAAAAAAAGCAGCAGCCGTAGTAAACACTCTGACAGGGGTTGTTCTGCATGATGAGTTGGTTTTAAGAAGTACTTCTGCACTCGACTAAAAGTTAAAGTCAGAACTTTATCTTCAGCATTTTTACAATGTGATATTGCACTTTCTCTGAATCTGAATACTTCTTCCACCACTGCTCGTTGTTATTCTCAGTTATATGAGGCCGATGCCACTATTTAAACTGATCACTGACTTTCCACTGGCAAGTTGGTCGGCTTACCTTCAAATTATATTTGGAAGGAACTGAATAATGCAAGATGTGAGAAAGTTCCAGAAAACTGGGTAGTCGGAGATGAATAAAATCCACTGACAGCATTAGAAAATTGTCTCTAGTCCATCCTCGGACTGATGAGCTATAAACAGAATAGGTACATTTCTATGAGTTGCATCATCTGCAGCTAAACCTTACAAACACTTCTTCTGTTACCCCAGGTAAACTCTGGCAGACACAATACAAGCACTCACACAGATGCAAGCAGTCGGGCCTTGTGAGCGTGTGCACCGTGTTGTTATTACCTGCGCTGGCTCACTACATGAAGCAGTCTATCGTTTTCTGTAAAGCTTCGCTGAAAGCATCTCATTAACTGGCCCGCTAATCAGTTTACTGACCTCTAGTTTACTTACCACAGCTAATCCTGGTTGACATCATACAATCTGAACATCAAACAAACGAACAAATGAGGTCAAAAACAAGATTAAGGAGGAACACAGAACACGACGCACACCCACACACACGTATACGCACCAACACTAATCTCGGACGCACATGCATCACAACTCTGAGAAGATACTACCAAGCAGCCAAGCTCACTCCCATGCTGCTACAAGAGGCTCCACCAAACAGACTCTCTAATATCACCTCTTTAGAGCTTTGATTAAAACCACCGCAAGTTAGTTTGTGCTCCATAAATCCCAAATCATTTTCTCAATAAACACAACCAATGTTTACTTGTCTTACTTTGGCTCTCTCATTTTTCTTGTCATTGGCGTCACATAAAGACAAGGGCATATTCAGGACGGGAAAACAAGAAGAAGCAGTGAAAGCCGGGCCAGGGAGAAGCCTCCAAAACTGTTCACATGGACGGATGGAGAACAAGAATGGTACTCAGCAAACTAGAGAGCAAACAGAGAGAGGCGTGTACTGAATAAAATGAGCTAAAGCAAACTGGACAAAGAGTAAATACAACATTCATGTGTGAGAGAAAGCGAATATTTCAGAAAAAAATACGGATTTAAAACGGGAAGCAAAGCGGATGAGAAAAGGTACAGGCCCATCACGGTCTGATGTGAAAGACAGGGAGAGTTGGCAGGTGCATTAAATCTGAGAAAATGCAACCGTGGATTTTATAGCAGAACAAAACATTACAGAGAGAAAAAAAAGAAAGAGAGAGAGAGACAGCACTAAGAGCAGCAGAGAGTTGGAGAAAGATAATATGAAGAGACAGAGAGCTACAGGACAAGACATGAGTGTATCAAGAGGAACGGCAGAGTTTGTGGTACTCACTCCAAAAGTGACGGTCTTGACTGGCATGCCTGTTGGCCCTCCACTCTGTCTTTCTTACGTTTTCTGTTTCTCTCAAACACACAGCTGTCTTTTTCTGTTGCCCCCTGCGAGTGCTGCCGTACAGGGCACACAGACCCCCATCCAACGTAAACATGAACACACACACACACACACACACACACACACACACGCCCAGACACGCACACTTGAGTAAGCATGGTGGGTGGAGAGACCGAGGAGGGTGGGGGTTGAGGGGATGGGGGCCCAGGGGTTTATCTCTGGAGGAATGCTGCCTGTATCTAAAGACACACATTTCACACACAGCCAAAAAAACAGCCGGGTCCCCCCCACACCTCCTGCTCCCTACACTCTCTCTGTTAGTTTCCTCACTGCATCCTCACTGATTCTTGGCTACTTTCCTCCCCCCCATTTTCTCACTTTCTCAAACTCTGCCTCACTTGTGTTTTGCCCCATTTTTTCTCCTCCATCTCCATCTTTTCCTCGCCCTTCCTCTCTCCTCCATCGCCCCCTCTATGTCCGGCTGTCCACCTCATCTGTCCTCTCCACCTTTCACATTTGTTGCACCCCAACACTCCGTGTCACCCCAACTTTATCCCTCCTTTCTGCTGTCCCTTCGTCGCCACACGTCACGCCCATCTCTGTGTCTCCTGTATGTTTTGTGACAGCCAGACAATCCATTTTTTTCACGGACCAGGCGATACCAGAATAGTGTAGTTACTGTGGCGAATGGGTGTGTTTTTTCGGAGCGGCTCTGTTTCAGTCTGTGAGGTGACTTACAGTGACAAAGCGCCTGGCGGGGGGGTTGCTGCCACCGCCCAGTGACAATAGGGCCAGACACATGGGGTGGGAGGGGGGGGAGCACGGAGGGGCCAGCCTCTCAAAAGGCCCTGCCTCTTTTAATAAAGCGTCCGTCATTCCTCGCTTGAAAAGGCCTCCTTTTCTCTACATCTCCCCTTCTCTCTCCCTCTCCTGGCTAAATGCTGGGAAAAGCACATCGCTGCCAAAACCATGCAGAGAGATAAATGCTAGTAGGAGAGGGGAAGGAGGGGGCATAGCAGAAAGAAGGCTATACACTACTCAGTACCACTGGACCGTGACCTGGGCAAAAACATCACGTGGGACCTCTGTCCTGTCCACAAGAATTGAGTTTAGACAGTGATGAGAGCTGTACTGAAAAAGAATGTGGGCCAGGGGACTACGGACACTAATGTCCATGAAGACATGACAAATTATCCTGTGGTCTTCCAAGAAAAGGGTCTGCAACTCTGACATAAACATCTTCTGGCTCAGCCTGCATCCAGTAAATCAGCTCATCTGAGGAGAAGAGTGGTGATATCTTATCAGGTGCTAAGTGATCAGGCCTTCTTAAGGTGTGGCAGCATTAAGCGATGAAAACATCCTGCCAGTGGCTTAAAGTTGCTTCCACTCAATAATGTTATTTCTTATCTCCTCATTTGTACTTTACTTGGATGTTTGAGCTTTAAGGCTACTTGTGTTTAAGGTTGGTTCCTCATCTGCTTGCATGACTTACACAAGCCTCCAATGCACACTGTACACTGTGGACCAAAACTTACAGGATAGACAAGTTTTGAATTCTTCATATTTGTCTAAAAACCTCTTTCAGGTGCCCATGTGTTTACTAAAAGCTTTCCTTTTTGCTGTAGTCCTTCCTCCTGCTTATGGTGGCCAATAAAAAATGCATAACTAAAGTTCTTGTTTTGTTTAAAAATAAAATAAAATATAAAAAAATAGTAATGATGAAATTTCAGCAGTCTGACTTCGACAAAAGTGAGTATTATCTAAGGTGGCAGTTTTTCAGTACTTGCCCCTCTGTCTATGTAAGATGCATACATGTAACATATGGACATATTTTCATACACTAAAATAAACGATCTGTGGCATCTCAAGGAGGGAATGTGGTGTTAAAAAGACTAAAACTTTGGAAGATATCTGATTGACCCGATAAACTCCAGAAACCCCATAATAGCTTCAGATAAACTTTGGAATATGTCTCTGTACAGGATAAGTACTCAGGTTTAGAGCTCGACTGATACTGGATTTTTGAGGTTAAAGTAAAAAAAAAAAACCATTACATATCGATATATTTGCCTATATACTTTATATATACATAATGATGGAGTTCATGTTTATTATCTTTCCAGCAATGTATTACACAGACTGCTTAGCAACTTACCACAAAGACAAGGCTTGACTCCACACCACCGTCTGCTCTGCTACATGTGCTGCAGACAGCGCTGAGTGCTGTAAACAATGGAGCTGGCACCTCTCTGCTGAACAAACTATGTGATTTTCAAAATTATCCCAAGCACCTTTTTCTGCATTATGTTCTGTACAAAAAAGTTTAAAATTGGTGCATCAGACAACATATATGCCAACATCAATATATCTATGACAGGTCAATATCAACCAATGATATCGGCTGACTGTTATATCAGTCGGGCACAACAGATTTTGTTGTTTTTAATGGCAGGATCCTAAAAAAGGGATCTTTTAATGGTCACTGTAAACAGGAGGAGTAATTACAGTATACAGAAAGTGTTTCAAAGTACAAATGGGCACGTGGTTGTTGTTTTAAGGCCGATTTGAAAACATGTGAACCTAATCTTTAAGCTGTGGAGGTGAAAACTTTTTGCCTAGCCACAGATTCTGGATTTTCTATGAGAAGAGTAGGTGAGAAAAGCATCAAGCCAGCATGTGATGCAGGTTGTGGGATGAACAAAAACTCTCAGCATCATGAGTATCTAGGCTGTAACTCTACACCGGAGTGCAAAGATGCAACCTTGTATATTCTCTTAAAGAGGCAGGACTCTCACTGACTCTCAAAGTCTGTGGCTCAGTGTGGTTTCAGGTCATTATCAAGCATATAGGCCACACTTCTGTTTCGTAATAGGGTTGATTTAAGTTCCAGAAAGACGTGCCCTCTGCACTCTGTGTCAAGCTCCTCTTGTTGGCAGGATAAAGGACTGCAGCTGTCCACGTGCTGCTTGTGGTGGTTTATTGCCCGTGTCTTGATGTCTCCGAGAACAGAGACCAGAGCTGAGAAAGTGGGGGAGAAATCAACATAAACAGGCTGTCAGCTGTCTTTCTTCAACCTGTTACACTCTCTGCCCTTGTCTGACCCTTACACTCCCTGCCTTCGCTTACACCCACATGCTGACTAACATCACACAGATCGCATTAGGGTTTAAGGATGAAAGCAGGTTGTGGTGACACAGAAGAACATCACTTGTCCAACACCTACAACGAACTGCAGCTCTGATCTCAAGCTGCCAAAAGGAGTGGCTGAAGATGTGTGAGTAACAGCAGACGTATGGTGCTGTAAACACTCTGCAGGCCAACAGAGATAGTGGTGGTTACGCAGCAGTAGGGACTCTACACATGGGGCAAGATTAATAAGAAGAAAGAAGAGCAAAAACAAAATCACTTTAGGAATAATTATATATTTCTAATTGCAGCAAAACATATGCAGGATTGTTATTTGAAATTAAAAATTTATACTGTGTTCTCTTTCTGTGCTAATTCTGGACTCACATGTGTGAATGTTGTTTCTGCGTAAGGTTGCACTACTTCGGTTTGGCATAACGCCCCTCTAGTGGCAGCGTGACGCTCTGCAACGTTGGCCTGCAGCAGCTTCAAAAACTATGGGCTGGGTCGGGCTGATTACTGCAGCCCTGGCGCAAACCTTACAATCACACACACACACACACACACACACACATACGCACACAACACACACATTCAATGGCTTATCCTGTACTTCAGCTCCTCCTCACAAGCTACATTAAGCTTCCCTGGCCTCTGAACTGACACAGGAGCGGTTTAACTCAGCATTAACAGCAGCGGGTGTTAAAACTGTCTTCTCTCCGCAGAACAGAGTACATATCATATGTCAGAGCACGCGTGGCTCACTCCCGTATATGCATATAATCATACATGCAGGCGCCTCAACAAGCGCACATGCGCCTCAACGTGACAAAGCCAGACTGACCTGTGGAAGACAAAAACAGGGGGTTAGAAATACTGAGACGAGGGAGGAGAGCAGAAAAGATGAAGGCAATAGAGAAGAATGACAGCGGCAATATGTCAGCGCAGGACCGGTCTCCCATTAATCTTCATAAGTGGAGAAGTAGAGATCGGGAAATACAGAGTGAAGATGTGCAAGAGGGGAGAGAGAGAGAAAGAGCGTCACCGTGGAGAGAATACGTCTTCACAACTCTCCACATCTCTCTCTACCGCATGTCCACAGTACCTGAGCACGCGCCGAGAACACAGACTCCATCATTTAAAATAAAGGGTCCAACCATCAGTCACAACTGGGCTTGAGTCAGCATCAGACGGAGTCCGAGCAGCCAGACCATAATTCAATCAGTCTGGTTAATAGACGCAGAGCTGAAGTGGCCCCAAGTATTTAGACTCTATTCGGAGCTAATGTACTGTCCTGAAACTACAAGATACAAACTCCACCGCGACCAGGAGTTCACCTGCTGCTGTTGACATAACTCAGTTAAAGTGGGACATAATGCGATTCTATTACGAGTCCCCCGAGGATATAAACTGCACTGTTTCCTCTGTGGGGAAAACAAGAAGAACAAAAACGTCACGTACTGTTTTAGTGTTACGTATCATCGGTCTATGATGTCTGAAGGTTTTCTCGCAAAAGGGTTAAAATGTACTGGATGCATCCTTTTATCCTCAAACAACCTAGCCTACTTTGCACTCTCATTAACAATGCCTTACTTTTTTTTGATTTACTTACAATCCCTAGAGGACAGATTGAGTTCTTTATGCCAGGATGTTTTCAAGGCATGAAACAGTGAAGCTAGCAGCCTATAAAGCTTTATTAAAAATGAGCAACTACAATAAACATAACCTATAATTGGCAAGCTTGTTTTTTTCTGAAAACTACATTAATAATGACAGTAGGACACTTTCTTGTTACCTATCAGCTGGAACATAAACACACAGTGAATGTATCAGTGAAAAGCTAAAATCAGTCTTTAATACTGTAGTGTGTCCGCTCACTCAGTGCTCCATGTCTTTAGTCAGGAGCTGCAGTTTGAAGGAAAACGCACCAACTAATAAAAAGACTATGTTAATGTAAGGTTTTGTGTTTATTACAGAA